CTACCTTAGAGTTATTTGTGAGGATAAAATTAATTCCCACAGAGCACTTAGAACAGCATACACAGCACATGGGAAGTGTAGGTGTTGGCTACTACTTACTCTATGCCAGGTGGGACTGAGTCATTGGCAGGCATTATATCTTTTAATCTTCATAACGATCCTGCAAAGTATTACTATAGCCCACAAACTACAGATGAGAACATTGTAGGTATAGGGAAGCTAAGTAATTTCTTCATGACTATCTTCATAGGTTAATAAGACACAGGTTTGCCAGAACAGAACCCAGGTCTGCCTTGAAAGCACATTCTATTTACCAACAGACTAATAAATTAAAGCAGTGAAAAGACTGCAGATGGGGATTTATTTTCCCAATTGTGTTGGTTTATCTAACCCACAGCAAAACACAATGAAGCTGATGAACAAGGCAGAGAAAGACAGGGCTCAGGAGTGAGAAATCACAAGAAGATCATGGCAGCAATGATATCATGTATATGAAGAGTTTACTAAAACTAACATTTGTTGTAATAAATGGAAAGTGATTCCGTGCAGATAAAATATTTTCAGATGGGCCTCTCTTTATAAATTTCCAATTTCGAGTGACTCAGATGGCTGAACAGCTGATGCTATTAGTCTTCAGCTCCTACTGCTATAATATTAATTGTAGGAAGCAAACCTAGCCAGTTGCTACACAGATGCTAGATGCTAGGTACACATACACACACACACACACACACACACACACACACACACACACAGGCACAGGATAAACTGTGCTATGATTGTGCCAAGGCACTCCAGCCTGAGCAACAGAGGAAAACTCTCTTTAAAAAGGGAGAAGGAGGCTGGGCGTGGTGGCTCACGCCTGTAATCCCAGCACTTCGGGAGGCCGAGGTAGGTGGATCACGAGGTCAAGAGATCGAGACCATCCTGGCCAACATGGTGAAACCCCATCTCTACTAAAAAATACAAAATAAAATAAAATTAGCTGGGCATGGTGGCACGTGCCTGTGGTCCCAGCTACTCGGGAGGCTGAGGTGGAAGAATCGCTTGAACCCAGGATGCAGAGGTTGCAGTGAGCTGAGATTGCATCACTGCACTCCAGCCTGGTTACAGAGCAAGACTCCATCTCAAAAAAAATTTAAAAAATAACAAATAAAAAGAAGAGAGAGAGAGAGAACGAGGGAAATACAAGATACTGGCCAGCCAGTGAGTACACCTGTGATCTTGCTTAGTTAATACCTCCAAACACAACAGTGCTAAACCCCCACATTGGCAGGAAGCTTTGTATTTCTCAAAAAATCCCCTCCCAAAATATTTCTGGAAATCTTAACCTATTTGTCCCCTCAGCCCCTCCAGCTGTGGGACCTTTGTAAGTGCCTTTCCCTTCCTTTTCGGAGTCCTGGGGATTTTGCTTATCATCTGTGCCCTGGCTGCAGCTCTGCAAGCCCCTTCTGCACAAGTGGCTCTTGCTCTCAAGGGTGCTCTACTTCATTGTCTACTCCGTCACTGTCCTCCAGACTTTAGCCTCCTATGTGTCATGGAGTTGGCTGAGCTTCTCCACGTCATCCACCTCTTCACATCTCTGCAATCCTCTTCCTTTGTTTATGCCTAGTTCTTTCATGAAGGGTCATTCTCCTGGCCCCAAAACTTTCTGTTCTGCTAAGTTCAATTCAATCAGCATATATTGATACCTCTTCTGAGCCAGGTGCTCGGTGCTGGGAATGCAGTGATGAATAAACAAGTGTCATGACCTGAAGAAATTATATTCTAATGGGGGAGAAAACTCCATAAACAAATAGTTTCAAAATAATGTGGTGATAATCTATAAAGATGAGCCCAGGTCAAACGAGAACACAACCCATCCTGGTAGTTCAGGATGGCTCCAAGGAGGAATTTATGTCTCTCAGGATGCCTTAAGAGCTTTTAACCATGTAAAAAAGAGGAAGAAAGGTCATGGAGAAAAGATGATGAGCCTAGGAAAGATGGGTACATACAGGAAAAAGACATGCAGTTGAATGGTGTGGGCCCTTGAAGTATGAAGCAGAGGGAGTGTCAATAAAAGAAGGGATAAATAGAAAGATATGATGGAAGGCTCTGCTTTGCTGTTTCAAGAAACTTATATTTAATTCTGTAGTGTGTGATTTCTCAAGCCAAAAAAAAAAAAAGTCCATTTGCATACACATACAAACATATAGACAGACACATATAAAGTTTCCCATGATTTCAGCCATCCCACCTACATACACCCCTGGAAGTAAATCCACATGCTGAAGGTGAAGATAAGCTAAGCTGGGATGAAGGAGAATCCCTTGAAGTATTTTAAGCAGGGAATTTTATGATCACATGTTAGTTTAAATACATTACTATCAAGTTTCATGACAGGCAAGTCTGGAGTCAGGGAGTACAATACAAAGATGTTCTGTATCTAGGTAAGAGATGACAAGGTTATTAATTTGAGGATTAGTGACAAAGCTGGAGAAGAAGGTATGACAGCAGCATGTCTTGTGAGTCATGAGGAAAAAGAGGAGTCAGAGATGACTTCAAATTTCCAACTGGGATAGAAGCTTGGTTGGGAGAAACAGTAATAAGTTTATTTTTGGACATTTGAGTCTGAAATGTCTTCGGGACAAGATAGCTTGGTAATAAACAGGCAATCGGATATAAATTAGTAGGTATACTAGTCTGAAGTCCCAAGAAGAGGTCAAAGTTAGTAACACAGGTTTGGGGGTGGGGGAGTCATATGAATATCTGCCAACTTGATTTTCATTGTGCTAAAGTATCGTATGACTACAGTTAATAAAAATGTGTTGTATCCTTGAAAATGAGAATAGATTTTAGGTTTCCTCAGTATGTGAGGTAATGCTTATGTTAATTAGCTCAATTTAGCCATTCCATAATGTATACATATTTCAAAGTGTTTTCCATGACAAATATTTAAATATATAATTTTTTAAAAATACAAAAGATTCTGAATTCACTATTATAATGATCCTAGAGGGGGAGAAAGGATTGTAGCATCACGATGATATGGACAAACCTAGTTAGGATCTCCAAACCGGGTCTGTTCCCTTCTCACCTAGGTAGTCCTTTACTCACTTTCTCACTTTCGCCTGACATTTCCAGTCCTACACAAGCCCATGTTAAAATCTGATGGGATGGCAAGAAGAGCCAAAAAATTCAATTCCAGATCGTAGTTGATGTTTTCATAGGAAAACATCCTTTATATTTAGTTTTATGAAACATAGAATAAAAGCCTTTTATTGTGCCAACCTTTTAGTACAGTTACTGTATATATTCTTGGTGATTTCTAAGCTACCATACCTGGAGATGAAATTTATTGTGGGATCCTTCCAAATAGTCTCCCCTACAATTCATTCTTCATAGAGTAGCCAGAATCATCATGTAAATATAAATCAGAGCATGGCACTTTCCTGTTTAAACCCATCCAATGGATTCCCATCGCTGTTCAAACAAAGCCCAAATTTCCTACTGTGTAGTTCCCCATCTTTATCGCACCCCTTCCGGGCTCCTCCAGGACCTTCCTGACCCTCCCTTGTTCCCTTTTCAAGGCAAGCTTTCTATACTGCTTTCCTTTTCCTAGAACTCTCTGCCCTTAATATTTCGTATAGCAGGCTCCGTCTCATCTTTTTTTTTTTTTTTTTTTTTTTTTGAGACGGAGTTTCGCTCTTGTTACCCAGGCTGGAGTGCAATGGCGCGATCTTGGCTCACCGCAACCTCCGCCTCCTGGGTTCAGGCAATTCTCCTGCCTCAGCCTCCTGAGTAGCTGGGATTACAGGCACGCGCCACCATGCCCAGCTAATTTTTTGTATTTTTAGTAGATACGGGGTTTCACCATGTTGACCAGGATGGTCTCGATCTCTTGACCTTGTGATCCACCCGCCTCGGCCTCCCAAAGTGCTGGCATTACAGGCTTGAGCCACCGTGCCCGGCCCGTCTCATCTTTCATGTATGAGTTCAAAACTTCATTCCTTACAGAGGCCTTCCCTGACCACCATTTCTATCTAACCCTTAATGACCTACCCCACTCTCTAACATGTTACTGTTTTATTATTGTCACATAATGCTTATCATGATCTGAAATCATGATTTTTGTTTTGTATACTCGTTTGTTGCATATTGGAGCCATAAAGACAGTTACTACATTTGAATCTTTCACATAAGGTATCTAATAAATATTTGTAAAATGAATAGACTAATTAATTGAATATCCCCATTCCATAAAATTAGTAAGTAAACAGTAGGTAAAAAAAGAAAGCACTCTGAACAAAGATGCCAGGCTCTATAGTTGGCGCTGGCAATGGAACTATGTCTTTCAGTAGTTCCCACTCTGGTGAAGACAATAGGCACTTGATTGTGAGGCCCTAACTAGGAGGCAAATAAAGGGTCCCGTGGAATCACAAAAGAAAGGATCCCTTAAAGAGTCGTTAAAATCCGAAGGATGAGTGAGTGAAGGGAACATGAGGGCTGAAGGGGTTGAAGGAATGTGGCAAACGCCTAGGGAGCAGGGACAGTAAGTGCGAAGCTGTCCGGGGATGAGAATGTGAGACATGTTAAGCAGTTCCCTGGTCCTGGAGCACTTTCCCAGGCTGATTGTAGGATTCGATGACATAGCATACTCACTACTGTGAATGGTAACTCGCCATATAAGCTACCGTTATGAATAAACGCAGACCTGTAACTACCAGTCACTTCTTATATCTTCTGATATTCCAAGAAAAAGGAAGGATAATTTTGAAGAGATCCTTGGTGTGATGGCTTTTGTGACTTACACGCCGGGTCCCGCGACCTCACCCCATCCTCTACACTGGTTGGTGTCGCCTAGACCACGAATCTCATTGGTCTTTCCAGGTGGAAACCGCTGCGGGATTGCTGCGGGGAGAGCCAGAGGCCCGCCCCCTGTCGCTGATTGGGTGAAGGGCGGCCAAATCAGAAAACCGGCCTCCGTCTCCCGGCGGCCCCACGGGGGCCTGTTGCTTGGCAACTGATTTACTTCCTCAGTTGCCGGGCTGCACCTGTGAAGTGGAGACAACGTGCTAGGACCTTGGTGGGCGTGCACGTCTCACTCCCACTCAGGCGCCGACGACACGGGGTTGTCTGTTGCTCTTGCAAGTTCGTCTTGAGACTGGGCTGCGAGCTGGCGCTGCAGTGAAACGCCACGGACGAGGAAGTGCCCAAGTTTTCCTTCGGGAAGTTCTCGTTTAGAGGAGTTAGGAGAAAAACTCATTGTTAATCCCACATTCAGAAGCCACTTATCTTGGGAGGCTTCCGAGGTTCTAGAAAGCAGGTAACTTATGTCAGTTTACTAAATGTGGGAAGGTGACCCATAACTTGAAACATCTGCCTCAGACTAAACCTGAGGCATTTGGGGACGAGTGCCAGACCCTCCGCTGCCTATCATGAGCGGTAGGGCTTACCGCTTGCTGCAAAGAGACTTCCATGAGCTCAGGGAGAACAATTATAAGGTAAGTACTAGGCACGTGGAGGGATGTGTTTCATTGTGCAGTAATTTTTAAGAGGCAGTTTAACCCATGTTTATTCTATAAGTCGTAATTTAGTTACACCCGATTTGCCACTCCAGTATTGTTATTTAATAAATATCTCAATTAGCTGGGCATGGTGGCGCGTGCCTGTAGTCCCAGCTACTCAGGAGGCTGAGGCAGGAGAATTGCTTGAACCCAGGAGGCGGAGGTTGCTGTGAGCCGAGATCGCGCCATTGCACTCCAGCCTGGGTAACAAGAGCGAAACTCTGTCTCAAAAAATAAATAAATAAATAAATAAATAAATATCTCACGAACGTATTTCATAACAATCATTATTATTCAAAATAATAATGCCTAACAATATTGAGCATATTGTGGAAAGTAATTTATGTGGATCTAGGCGCTGAATATCAGGGTCTGTTATGTAGTTAGTGACTAGCAGGTGCAGGCTTATGCTCATTAATTATAATGCTGCAAAAGAAGTAGTACCTTTCATTTACCTACTGAAAACCTAAGGCTCCAAAACATTCTGTAAAGATTTGGCCCATGATTCCATTACAGGGTTTTCTGATTTCAAAGCTCTAGTTCTTAATTCTTGTGTTCCACTACTTACTGTCCAGTGCACTTTTACCAGCATAACACATAAATGCCTTCCTTCTGTAGTTTTAACACAAAGGAAGCAATAGCCTTGGCCTTAAATGCCACCAATGAGGTTATCAGTGTCCGTGGGTGCCACAGGCTGATTTATGGAAAATAAAAAAAATGGAAGAGAGGGCAAAGAGGGAGTGCTTAAGGGAAAGAATAGAAAGAAAGCTGTCCATAGAAGGAAGGTATAGAGTCCATCCTACCGTTGCTTCAGGTGTAGTTCAGTGGGTTGTTCAATTTTTACCTCTGCTATAAAAGTACTGCCTTCACTGGAGATAGTAGGAACAGTTAAAGCAGTGCAACAGCAAACATTCCAGAGGCATGGACGTAACATTTGATATTATTTCTGCTCATCTTGAGCTTTGTAGTTCTCTGTTGAAAGAGAATCTAATGAAGGAATATGTAAATATAGATAATAGAGATACAGTGCTGACCCAGACAAGCACTAACATACTTAAAAACTATGTGGGTGCTTGGAAGTATTTTTGTCTGTTTATGTAAGTGTATTACTTAGCACAATTCGTAAGGTTTTCCATGAAATACATTCTTGTCCCTCCATTGGAGCAATACCTCAAGTATAGGAAAACTTTGCTTTTATATACAAGTGCAATTTTGGATTTTTTCTTAATGAAAATGTTTCCACTTCATGTCATTCATGTAGAATTCATATAGCTATAAAATGTTTTGAAGAAACATGTACTTTCTATTTCTTTCTTTTAAAATTGGAATCTTAAATTGGTTATTGACTTACACAGAGAGTATATAAGCCACACATCCTAATCTTGACTTTCTAGTCCCACTGGTGACTTCTACAATTATGATTTATTCTTATTTACTATTGCATATGTTTTCTGGGATCTATATTAACTTCTGTGTCATAAGACACATAACACCTCCCCAGCAAATAAACTTATCAAAAAAAGAAAATTTCGAGTATTTAGAATTCAGTGTCAGCTGGTATGTGATTTTTTAAAACTTCAGTAAATACTTAATAAGTTGTGTGTGATTTAATTTTGTTTTTAACTTAAAGGGTATCGCTGGTAGGCCTGTAAGTGAAGATATGATGGAATGGGAAGCTGAAATTGAAGGTCTACAGAATTCAGTTTGTCAGGGTTTGTATTTTCAAAACCAATCTATTTTTTAAAAAGTCTTTATACCATTATTAGCCCACCCTCTTTTTATGTAGGATAAGGTTGCAGAATATAAATTTCCTGAAATTCTTCTTTATGTGTAAAATAAGTTTGCATTATACCAATTATCTAAAATTCTGAAAGTATTTCCATTATTTTTTCATTATATGGACAATTTTTTTGCCGTGTGTTAACATAGATGGAAATTTGGGGTATTTTTCTTTATGCCAAATCTTAATGTTATTACATTTTTAAGATGCAGACATAATAAAGCATATCAATTGAGAATATCTTCTGTCTTCCATGAGATCAGGGAATAACTATCAAAATTCCTATTGGCTTCAAAATCCCACAGTTACTTCTCATTTTTTCCTTTATGATTTTCCCTCAAATTTTTATAAATCGAAAAATCTCAAGAAGACTGAGCCACTATAAACTGTGATGATCATGTTTTCTTTCAATCATGGATTAATAAGATATTCTTTGAGTGAGGTACGGGAGACAAATATAATCAGCAGATAATTACAATAAAATATACATTATTATGGATTTTGAACAGAATACTAAAGAGGAAGAGGATTAGTTAATTATGCCTGAGGGAGTCAGAAATATCTTCCCAAGGAGACCACATTTGAGTTGGGTCCTGAAGAATGTGTAAGAGTCTGCCAGGTTCAGAAGGAGAAGGAAATTCAGGCAGAGTAAACAGCACAGCAGAGACTTGGAGGCAAGAAAGGTTGTAGCAGATTCTGGGAAGATGAGTTCAGTCAATATGAAATACAATGGAGGGGCTGAGTATTAGGGGGATAAAGGTAGCAGATGGAAAGGACTAGTGGGAAACAGACTGAAAGCATGTGATAATAGTTTGTGAAGTGTCTGTTATACTATCCAGAGGAGTCTGTATAGTCGATGAATCGATTTACTTAAAAATAAAACTGGAAAGTCTAAACCACAGGGAGAAACTCCAGTGTTAATCAGGAGTTAATCAATACAATATGACACTTTAGTAAAAATGTTATCTCTATATCATAGATTTAGTCTTCCAACTGACAATACATTTTACATCGGAGTACAACTATATTCCTCCAGTTGTGAAATTTATGACAATTCCTTATCATCCAAATGGTAAGAACTAAATGAGATTTTTATCATCAGAGGCTTTGTACCTATTATCCTTGTTTCTTATAATAATCATGTTTCTTTTTAAGAGCTTTATTATGATTATAAAAGTAAGAACTCTCATTGGGGAAAATATGAAAAGGCTGGGAAAAATTAACAATCACCTTAAATCCTAATGCAAAGAGAAAATACCGACAACATTTCACCAAATTTATTTTCTTTTATTCTATGTATGAACTTTTCTCTATGTAGTTGAGGTATTACATATGAAGTTTTGCCTCTGGGTTTTTTATTTTATTTATTTTACGTGGTTTTTTTGTTTGTTTGTTTTTGTTTTTGTTTTTTTTGAGACAAGTTTATTCTGTTGCCCAGGCTGGAGTGCAGCGGTGTGATCTTGGCTCACTGCAACCTCTGCCTCTCTGGTTCAATTGATTCTCCTGCCTCAGCCTCCCAAGTAGCTGGGACTACAGGCATGCACCACCACACTCAACTAGTTTTTGTATTTTTAGTAGAGATGGGGTTTCACCATGTTGGCCAGGCTGGTCTTGAACTCCCGACCATCCACCCACCTTGGCTCCCCATAGTGCTGAGATTACAGGGCATGAGCCACCACGCCTGGCCTAGGTTTTTAAGTTTAAAACTATATGTCTTTTTTCTGCATTGTTAAACATTTTCAAAAGATCATCTTAAATCGTTCAACAATACACTTAACCATTCCTCCGTTGTTCAATATTTTAGTTGGATCTAATTTTTCATTATTATAAAAAATGATATTTTTTAAATAAATATCATTTCCATAAAGTAGAGGGAACTTTAGTCTCTAGGAGGAAAGGTATGGGGACAACTTGTGACTGCTCTTTTGTCCCCCATCACTCCTCCCAAGGGCAGTCACTTACCTGATTAGGGAGATGGAGGAAAGAATTAAGCATTTGTGGCCCAGAATTTTCTCAACACTGTCTCTTTCTAACTATCCTGGGTACAGTCTCTTTTTCTGCCCACAGGAAATTTAGGCAGGCCTTCAGTTTGGGAGTGAAGTTCAAATCAGGGGGACTTTTATGGAGCCTGATGAAAGCCATTCATCAAGTGCATTCTCCATTTCCGTGTTATGTACAATGAAGCTGATGTTTTTACTTCCATGTTTCAATACTTGATCTATTTTATAATTACATATGAGCTTGAGGGGTTAAAAGGATTATTTACTAGCTTTCAAACCCCACCAAGGATGGCTATGTACAGTTTTGCATCTTTAGATATAAAAAGCCAAGTTGCCTTTTGGTGGTATTTATACTCCTACCAAAAAGTATATATAAAGTTCTCATTTTAGTACCTTCCAATTCTGGCCATTGAAACTTTGGATAATTTTTTTTTTTGCCAATTTGGTAAGAGCTTTGCTATTATTTTAATAAGCACTTCTTTGAATACTTGAGAAGTAAATATTTTTTCACATTTGTTGATTCTTGTTTTGTGACTTGTATGTTATAATCGACAATGTTATCACATCGTCCTAGATGCTGCAAATATTTCCTCTAATTTGTCATTAATTTTCAATTTTGTTTATGTCATTTTTTCACATGTTGGATTTAGAGATTTTTATGATTTAAAATAAATTTATATTTAAGATCTATTACTCTTGTCCCTTGGGGTTTTTGCAATTGTCTTTCATCTTAGATGATCCTTTCCCCAAACAAAATCAAATAGTCATTTTAAGTTTCTTCTAGTCCATTATATAGTTGTATTTATCTTATTTAACTCTATTATTTTTCCAAACACTAAATTAATTGTGTTAGGTCATAGGCCAAGCTTCTGTACATCTTTCCAACTTAATAATAACAGGCCAAGGCTGGAGGTTAAGTTTTGCCCATCCTCAAGGTGGAGGATTCCGTTTCTGGGACTAAAGCATTTACTCTGTCACCGTTTCCAGTCAGTGGGAAGGGGAAAAAAAGAAGGAAAACCAGCTTCCTTTAAAAAATGATTCAGAAATTGCACACTTATATTCCACAACTAAAACTTAGTCACGGGGCCACATCTTACTAGAGGAGAGGGTAGGAAAAACCGTAGGGGCACCTATATATTCAGCCAAAACAACACGGTAGTGGATGGGAACCAGGGATGGATATAGTGCTTCTTATTACAGAGAGAAGAACTAGGAAAAAGGAAGAGCAAATGCAAATCATTTTTCTGGCTTATCATTTTGATGTTTGTAGTTTTACATGATAATTTATTATATATGCCAATATTAATGTATTATTTTAATACAGTAGACCCACACACTGGTCAGCCCTGTATAACTTTTTTGGATGACCTTACGATGTGGAATACAAGCTATACATTGAGCAGCATCTTACTTGCCCTACAGGTAAGAATAGATTGCATATAATCTTTTTAATACTTTTAATTACCTAACTGTTCAAACTATAAGAATTAAAATACACAATGCATATTTCAGTATTTAAAGAATTTGAGAAGCTTATTTAAATCAATATTTCTATATGAAGGCTGCAAAGTGGAACTTATTAAATTATAAAGACTATTGTTTTAAAGTGAAATTGATAGTTAAAGCCCCTCAAGACCAAAGAATACGTATCTTATAAAAGAAGAAAATAATTATTTAGGTGGTTTCAATTCTGAAAATATAACCTTAGGTTTTCTTTTGGCTGCTGACTTCACTTCCTGGTGTTGAACAGGCCTTTTACGTCCTTCTTCATTTACGGACCTTGCCTTCCTGAGAGAGGTGGATCAACTGACTACAACTTAAAATGCTCACCTTTGTTTTTTGTTTCTGACAGTGCTAGTTAGCTACTTTCTGTCTCATTAGCATTCATATCAAACCCAGTGAACAATTATACCAAGGATTTTCTCCTCTCCTCAGATGCCTGTTTCTCAAACGCCACCTTTACCCACTGGACCCATGGTCCTTAGAAGCATACCTCAATGTTGTGCCTTTTCTTTTCTTTCTTTGTTTTTTTTTTTTTTCTTTGATAGGATCTGCCTCTGTTGTCACCCACGCTGGAGTTGCAGTGGCACAATTATGGCTCACTGCAGCCTCAACCTCCTAGGCTCAAGTGATCCTACCACCTCAGCCTCTCGAATAGTTGGGACCACATTTTTTTTTAAACTTTCTCTAGAAAATTTAATTTTTTAAATTTTAAAAATTTTTTAAAAATTTTTTCTCTAGAAATTTTAATTTTTTTATGTAAATTTTTTTTTTTTTTGACCGAGTTTCACTCATTACCCAGGCTGGAGTGCAATGGCGCGACCTTGGCTCATCGCAACCTCCGCCTCCTGGGTTCAGGCAATTCTCCTGCCTCAGCCTCCTGAGTAGCTGGGATTACAGGCACACGCCACCATGCCCAGCTAATTTTTGTATTTTTAGTAGAGATGGGGTTTCACCATGTTGACCAGAATGGTCTCGATCTCTTGACCTCATGATCCACCCGCCTCGGCCTCCCAAAGTGCTGGGATTATAGGCGTGAGCCACCGCGCCCGGCCAAAATTTTTTTTTTAATTTTCTCTAGAGAAGGGGTCTCACTATGTTGCTCAGGTTGGTCTGGAACTCCTAGGCTCAAGAGATCCTCTTACCTCAGTCTCCCAAGTTGCTGGGATTACAGGCAGCAGACACCACATCCAGCCAGTGTTGTATTATTTCAGATTCTTAAAAAAAATTCCTCATTTCTTATCTGATGCTAAAATGAATTATTTAAGTGATATTTGCTTTGACCACTTAGATCTAGCTTAGTAATAATCTATCCATGGACCTACTTATCACTAATAATGTCTGGAGATAAATTATTACATTTTGATTATCCAGAATACTTGGAATATAAAATATTCTGGCATAATTGAATTTTTAAAATATGGAATTATAAATTCAATTTCTTGTATTTCTTATTTTTGGAAAAAAATAATACTTTTTTGACTAGTCAGCATACTAAGCACATTGTAATCTTTAGAAAAGATTCAATGTTCAGTTCATTCATTCATTCTACAAATAAGTATTGAGGATCTACTTGTGTGAGACTGTGTTCTAGGAAAGAAACATTTGAGCAAAAAATTTAAGTGAATGAGTGTGATATGCAGAAATCTGGGGTTAATTCTTTAGATTCCTTTAAACAGATATATTCTGATCTCATCTATGTAAACTGGAGTCTGCTGTAAGAATAGCTAAATGATTTCAAAATGTAATGAGTATGGGCAAACCAGCATGAACTGGTGAAAATTTTGAATTGCAGAATAATTTGATCAAAGGGAAATTTGTTCTGTCACTTGCTACCTTTGTACCATTGGACAAAGTTTTCCCACTTCTCCATGCTTCAATTTCTTCGTCAGTAAAATGGGGCTATTGTTACCTCATGAAACCTGTGAGGATGAAACTATTAAATGCATGTAAAGAATTTGGAACTGTGCCTGGTCCAAGAAGAGAACTGAATAGTTAATACAGGTTGAGTGTTTCTTATTTGAAATGCTTAGGATTTGGGAATTTTTCCAGTTTTTGAATATTTGCATTATATATACCCTCCATGTGAGCATCCCAAATTTGAAAATTTGAAATCTGAAATGCTCCAGTGAGCAATTCCTTTGCACATCATGTCAGTGCTCAGAAAGTTTTGAATTTTGGAGTATTTAGGATTTCAGATTTTCAGATTTGGGATGCTGAACCTCTAGTTGTAATACTATGATTATTCTTACTATTAAACAGTAATGCAAAGTGACACTAAAGTGTTGCCAAATATATCATGGAAAGCCAGTAGATAACACAGTTTTTTGTCTCTTTATTTTTCAAAAACATTAATAAAACAAATATGCACACATTACAAAAGATTTTTAAGATGACGAGAAGGAAAAGACAATCACTGATAATTATAAAGAAAACCCTTAACTCTGCTGTTACTAGGCAAGAGCTTCCTGATCTTTTCTCCTGTGGTTCTATTTAAAATCTTTCGGTGGATTCCACCCTCTCCACAAGTGTAAGCTCTAGTTCCGTTGCATATCTAATCCTCACATCTAAACTCTCCCTAACACACCATGCAATTCTGCTCCTACTTTATCTTCATGCTTTTCTGCACTCACATTGCTTGGTTCAATTCAGATCAAAAAACATTCGTAGAGTTCTAAAATCTTAGACCTTAGTAAATTGTCAGTCTAGTTCCCCTCTGCCTGGCAACCCATTTTCTCCTCCCTTCTTCCTCTGTCTGTCCAGTAAGCAGCTGTTCATGTTGTAAGAGTTAGATCAAATGAGTCTTCCTCTAGGATACCTTTTCTGATTTATTTTCCTAGGTAGAATTAATAGCTTTGGTTTCAGGGGAGCTGTCTTTGCCACACACCCAACAGTACCCTGAGCAGGTTTCTGTTAGAACACTAATACTGCAATGCACACACTGCTTACTTGTCTGTCTTCTCCTATTGGACTACAAACTCCCCCAAATCAGGAAATAGGTCTAATTCATCCTTGATTTCCCAGTGTCTAACCAGGACAATGCTGACATTTGGTAGATATTAAATAAAATGAATGAATGAATGAATCTGAATGTTTACATTGTTGCAGTTATGGTATGTGTATTTTCATGCACTTAACAACAAGAATACATCCTGAGAAATGAATTGTTAAACATTTCATCATAGTGTGAAGATCATGGAGTGTACTTACACAAACCAAGATGGTATAGCCTAACACATACCTAGGCTATGTAGTATATATAGCCTGTTGCTCCTAGGCTACAAACCTGTACAACTTATCACTATACTAAACACTAGAGGCCATTGTAACACAATTTGTGTATCTAAATATAGAAAAAGTACAGTAAAAAACTGGTATTATTATCTTATGGGACCAGCATGGCATATGCCATCTGTCGTTGAGTGAAGCATTATTAGGTGGCACATGATTATATAAACCATATAGCCTGTTTCTTTTTCATTTAACATTGTCTTTCAAGTAACTGCCTTATGGTAACAATCAATATTTTAATAGCTGTTCAGTATTCCTTTGAAGGTCAGTGCTACCCAGTAGAACTTTCTGCATTGATGGAAATGTCCATTATATCTGCACTGTTCAATACGATAGCCACTAGTTATATGTGGCTATTGACCACTTGAAATGTTGCTACTGTGACTAAGGAACTGAATTTTTTATTTTATTTCATTTCCATTATTTTAAATTTAAATAGTCTCCGGTGGTTGTGCCTACAGTGATGGGCAACATAAGTTTAGGCCATAATTACTAACTACTTTTTTTTTTTAATAACAAACGAGATACATTTCCAATGATCACATTGTTATTCAAGGGGAAGGTACTTGAAATGTTGTTTAAAATATTTTGAAGTCTAACTATACTAACCAACTTCAACTAAAATTTTTATAATCATAATTTAAATTCAATTTAAATGTATATAATAGGAAGGAATAGATTACAGAAAGAAACTTGTAACTTGCTTTTTTATCTCTCCTGGTTTTATATCATACATGAGCCTAATATTAGGTTTCTTGAGAGTGCAGACTATGTCTCATTTTTAATCAATCTCCAGATCCATACATAGTAGGCATTTGATAAATGCTTATTGAAAGTTGTGTATATTGGTTTGTCTTTTTGCTCTAAAAAAGTTTACTTTTGAAACTCTATGTTTTCTTTGTTTTCCTATAGGTTATGCTTTCTAATCCAGTGCCAGAGAATCCAGTGAATTTGGAAGCAGCCAGAATACTGACTGAAAGTGAATGTCTGTACAGAGCAATTCTAAAACTTTTCAGCAGGCCATTACAAAGTAAGAAGTACCTACATTTTGTTACTTGGCAATTATCAATTATTTATTGGACATTTATGGCATAGTGACCTAAGAAATAATTGTTATATAAGGGAATATTTAAAATATTTTCTGTATCCATTTTCAGTAATGAAATGGTATTAAGATCCCTACTACTGTAAGTCTTTGTCACACCATCAGTGTGATCCTTTTTTAAAGATCATCAAGGATCTTAAACTCAGGATCTTTAAGTGTTATGGTCATATGCATGGATGGTGCCAAATGAAACTAGTCTACCCATCATAAAGATATGACATCTAATTTTAACTCTTCAATCTGTCGCCGACATTTTCCAGACTTCACCTGTGGTACTCCACATCTTACCAATTTGCACCACTTGTCTTCTTGATTAGCAAGATGTCAATTTTTTTTTCCAGAGAGTTCCCTCCAGGAATTCCTTCTAAGAGCACATGTGGAAATAGAGCCTGAAGCTCTTCAGTCTTTCTGCTCTACTGAGCAGTGTTTTCCTGATACCCTTGGTATCCTGCCAGCATCTTCACTGTGACTCTTAACTCCAGCGCCTCCATTGCCCCTGTACTCTGTCTCTCTCCAGGTCGTACAGCACTGCTTCTGGCTTCTTGTGCACAGAAGGGTTTTCTACAGCTGAGAGCTGGGCCCCTAGTGACATAGTTATTTCCTTTATATACTGCCCCATCTTCTTGTGGCACACAGCAACCTTGCGTAGTAGCTGGTATCGTTACCCTTCCAATCAACAGGATTTAATTTCTTTTCATTCTTTTTTTTTTTTTTTTTTTTACTGCATTTTAGGTTTGGGGGTACATGTGAAGAACATGCAAGATTGTTGCATAACCTAGAAATAGAAATTCCATTTGACCCAGCAATCCCATTACTGGGTATATATCCAAAGGATTATAAATCTTTTCTTTTTTTTTTGAGATGGAGTCTCATTCTGTTGCCCAGGCGGGAGTGCAGTGGTGAGATCTCAGTTCACTGCAACCTCCACCTCCCAAGTTCAAATGATTCTTCTGCCTCAGCCTTCTGAATAGCTGGGACGACAGGCACCGACCACTGTCCCCAGCTAGTTTTTGTATTTTTAGTAGAGATGGGGTTTCACCATGTTGTTCAGGCTGATCTTGCACTCCTGACCTTGTGATCCGCTCACCTCAGCCTCCCAAAGTGCTGTGATTACAGGCGTGAGCCACTGTACCCAGCTCAGGCCTTGATTTCTTATAGTACTTTTTCTCTCAGATTTCCATTGTCTCTTTTTCTCTTTCCCTTCCAGGAGCCCCAGTCCGTTACCCAGGTCTGTATAATTGTGACCAAGTTCAATTGCTCCTCCTCCACAGGGTTTTTGGGTCTGATACAAATCAAATGGTGTTGATCAAGCATCTTTTCCAGTACCATAGAACTTTATTATATGACAAAGTTCTTGGGAAAGCTATTTGATCCCAAGTTTAATGTGAAGCAGTAGTAGAAAATACCCTTCACTAAGTATGTGTTATACACTAATTTTACCCTTTTCTGGCTTGGTGTCCTTTCATCTGGAATACCAGCAGACTTGACTTGGAGCATCATATTTCTAAAGGTTGAAGAAACTGTGTATGTTTAACCAATGGAAGAAAAGATAAAGGGCTGTTGTAAAAGCTGTTTTCAAATATTCATAGGGATTTCCTATGGAAAAAGGAGGATTCTTCTCTGTTTCTTCAGAAAACTAACGTAGGACAAATACTGAAGCTACAAGTCAGTCATAGTTTCCCCAGGCCTGCTGGGTACCAGAATTGGAGTTCAGAACATGCAGATTTGGCCCTGCCTGTGTCAGAACATGCCTTAACTGTATCAGGGACTTTTCTCCCATAGTCAGTCATCTGGAATTAATGTTATTATCCTAAGTCTAAGCCTGGCATGTGATATGCAGACATGTAAATGTTGCTCATTACCCAAACTTTTCCCCATCATCTGTTATGTTCGCCTACCCTGAACAGCAAGGTCTTTGCCCCGGTGTTTTGACAAGAAGACCAAGCTAAGCTCTAAGCTCAAACCCAGTGTAGAGGTCCAACGACCTTCCCATTTCCTGGCAGCCTCCTTTCCTTGTGGCCTGGCTCCTTTTCCTTTCTTAGAGTGCTCACATGTCCCAGACTGCCTGAGACAGTCCTGGTATAATTATTTCCAGTACCTCCTTTCACTTGCAGGGTACCAGTTTAGACAATCAATTATATAGCCAAGTTGGGCGTCTAACTGATGAAATAACTCTATAGTTGCACCATTCTTAATGGTAAAGTCCATTCAGGTCCCAGTTGGCCAAATATGAGGAACAAATTTTTTTTTTAATTGCATTTTAGGTTTTGGGGTACATGTGAAGAACATGCAAGATTGTTGCATAGGTACACACTTGGCAGTGTGGTTTGCTGCCTTCCGTCCCCTCACCTGTATCTGTCATTTCTCCCCATGCTATCTCTCCCACCTCCCCACCCCCCCACCCCTCCCCCATTTCCCCCCAACAGACCCCAGTGTGTAGTGCTCCCCTCCCTGTGTCCATGTGTTCTCATTGTTCAACACCCGCTTATGAGTGAGAATATACGGTGTTTGATTTTCTGCTCTTGTGTCAGTTTGCTGAGAATGATGGTTTCCAGGTTCATCCATGTCCCTACAAAGGACGTGAACTCATCGTTTTTGATGGCTGCGTAATATTCCATGGTGTATATGTACCACATTTTCCCTATCCAGTCTATCATCGTTGGGCATTTGGGTTGGTTCCAGGTCTTTGCTATTGTAAACAGTGCTGCAATGAACATTCGTGTGCACGTGTCCTTGTAGTAGAATGATTTATAATCCTTTGGATATATACCCAGTAATGGGATTGCTGGGTCAAATGGGATTTCTATTTTTAGGTCCTTGAGGAATCACCACACTGTCTTCCACAATGGTTGAATTAATTTACATTCCCACCAACAGTGTAAAAGTGAGGAACAAATTTTTTTAACAATTCAAGTTGCTTAAAAGAATGGACAAGGCCAGGTTGGCAGTTAGTAAACTCTCTATTACTTCAAGTATGCTTTAGTAACTAGTGTTTATTTGATAGAGCTACATGACCATTTTTCAGCGTTGTTATCAAAGAGCTTCTTTGATAAAAGAAGTGCCAAGAATTGGATAAGGGGGCCTTTTAAATACCTTCCAACTTACTCTTCAGCTAGTTCAGGAAAACTCAGAGGAGGAAGTTCTGGAGACAATGTATAACAACTGTTTTCCTCACAGATTCTGAGTATTGCTACTTACTTTCTAATTTGTTATGAGCTTTCAGATGAGGTTTCATATGAGGAATTACCTGCTCCTTTTTTCAGTTCATCCTTGTAAATTTTGACTTCTAAGTAGTTGTATTGTCAAGTAATATTTACTTTCTGTTTTCACAGTTGTTTTGATATTTTAAAACCTAAGTTTTGTATAATTTTTAAAACCTTTGGTTGAAGCAAAACCCAAGAATATAAAAACAGTAAAGCTGAGTAATGGTAGCTAAATAATTATTTTTTCTTAGCCAAGTATATCGCTATTGTTTTTAATAAAAAAGGAGGATCATCTAATACATTTCAGATACTTATCAAAATAAACTATAATTGACATATGAGTCATAATATTAGAATAAAGAAGAATATAGAAATATTAGGGACATTATAATACTAATTTGTGTTGTATACTTTTTTAAAACCTGGTAATTCTATAAATACATCATATTCTGCCTATGATTAGGAAAATGTTGTGACAGACATTTGATTCTTCTCCAATTCAAGCTGCCAATTTGTTCACTGGGTTTTAAAAAATCCTTACGATAATAGAGCAATTTTAAGGCAAATTGTCTCTGCAGCGGAAGCAGGTGGTGTCTCATAGGATTTCGGGTTTCCATTTCTTTTTAAAGTGAGGATACTTCTTTGGTTAGGTGTAGGAATACCCCTTCCCCTGAGAAACATACTTTCTGGATGTCAGGGGAAAACAAAATTTAGTCCAGTAGCGTTGCTTATTTGTTAAAGAACATGAGCTTTAGCACCATCATTCAGAACCAGTTTTGTTATTGATTACAGCTTTGTTATAGATATCCTATTACTTACAAATATCATGAGATATTAAAAAACTGAGTTTAACAGCATGGTGGTAGAGTGTGGATCTATTTGCTTGGGTTACATACCTCTTTTTTCTTGTTTGTATTTCATTATACCAGCTAGTCCAATAACTTTTCAGCAAAGTTTCTAAGTTGCTAGTTTTAATGAGAAATGTTAAGTATTTATTTTCTATCAAAGAAATATATATTTATAGTTTTAGAGGACAAATAATAGGAATTGGTTTTTAATAAAATATTAAAAACCTGAATGCTGCCTGCCAGAGGCAGTCATAACTTTCAACACATTTAGCTGTTTCATCTGGGATTTACCACTACATTTCTAAGTGTATTCTGTACTAATATTTCCAGGCTTTTCAGTTTCAGATATTATTTATAGGCTTCATCTCACAAAATACAAAGATTTTGCTTTTAATACTACCATTCCTACCCATATTCCCGCTCCCTCATCCTCCTAATACGATTTGGTTACATTAATATGACTTTATAAATACTTGTCATAGATAAACCATAAATGATCATCTTTCTTTTCTTGTACAAAAGGTCTGATTTTACCTTCCTTTTTTATGTGTAAACTATCTTTTCTTCCTCTAAACTTTCTGACAAAGCTATAAAACAGCTCCCAGGTATTCGGTCAGCATTGAGTCTGTCTTGTTTTGCTTTTGAAGCCCTCTTTCCTGTGGCACTCCCTCCTTCCTCTTGAATTCTGGATTGCTGGTTCTCTTGCAGGTGTGCTGGCATGATGGACTTTTTGTCTTGAGTTCTGGATTGCTGGTTCTATTGCAGGTGTGCTGGGATGATGACCTTTTTGTCTTGAGTTCTGGATTGCCGGTTCTCTTGCGGGTGTGCCGGGTGGCCTTTTTGGTGTCTTCTGGGTGGGAGCTCCTGCTTGCTTGCTCAATCCCTCATTTTCCTGGTGGTTGGTTCTGTTCCTTTGTTTTGTTGGAGCACATCTTCTAGGAGCTTCCTAGTACATGGGAGTTAAACCTTTTATAACTCTGCATGCCTAAAAATGTAATTATGCTACTCTCATATGCTCATAGTTTGGTTAAATTTTAGTTTGGAAATAGTTTTCTTTCTAAATTGTAAATATTTTACTACCTTTTACTTTCTAGTGTGGTCTTGAGAAGTCTAATTTCATTCGATGTCCAGTCTTTCATATGTAATTTTTTTTTTTTTTTTTTTTTTTTTTTTTTTTTTTTTTTTTTGCTGGAAGCTTTTTAAACCTTCCTTTTATTCCCAGTGATTTGAAATTTTTGATAACATTTGTTGGTGTATCCTCCCCTTCCCTGCCTCCACATTACATAGGACATTTGATAAGCTATCAAATTCTCAATCTCTAATCATTCACTTCTGTGATTATTTTAAAATATATGATTTATTTTATAACTTCTTCTCCCTTCATTTTCCCTATTGTCTCTTCTAGATAGAATGTTGGGTCTACTGATCTGATCCTCTACTTTTTTTAAACTAAATTTCTCCTGTTATCCATCTGTTTATTGTATATTCTGGAAGATTTTGAGAAAAATGTTTCTGTTTCCTATTTTTCTCTTTTTGTGGTTAGGATTGTTCTCTTTTATGGTACTGACCTTGCTCAAATGTCTAGTAATCTTTTACTATCTATTCATATGATGAACATGTGATGCATTTGATGAATGCACTATTAAAAAGACTGGAAGTTCTGAATACAGTCTGGGCTTGTTGACAGTTTTATTTCATAGCAGAATTATTTAGTGTGAACCTGACTATTTCATTAGACTTAACTGTTTCTCCTGAGAGGGATCTGCCAGGCTTGTGGAGGGAGAAAGAGAGATAGAGAGAAAGAGAGAGAGAGAGAGAGAGAGAGAGAGAGAGAGAGAGAGAGAGAGATGAGAGAGACAGAGAGAGATGAGACAGAGAGAGATGAGAGAGACAGACAGAGAGAGAGAGAGAGAGACAGACAGAGAAAGAGAGAGACAGAGACAGAGAGAGTAAGAGAGAGAGAGAGAGAGAGAGCCCTGCTAATACTCTGACAGCTGGACAGGGGAGAGAATCAGGAATCTTGTCTGTTTGATATGATTTACTCAATTTTCAGTTTCTTACCATACTCCTGTCCTGCTTTATTTCTACTGTCCTCCAGTACTCCGTCTCTCTGGCCCAGTTTTTCCAGAGGTTAAATATCCTCCCTCTTACCTGAGCAGTAGTCATGATCTGGCCACACAGAATAAGGGTATAAGTCTTTGGTGTCTGTACTCTGCCTCTCACCCTGCCTTCCAGAGGTATCTGGCATCTTCAATTCCTGAACTGTTTCTCAGGTTCTGAAGTACAAATCCATTTGCTTTTTAGTGGTCTCCTCTCATCATGCAGTTTTTTTTTTTTCAAATTTCTGTGGCCTGCTAAGACAGTTGCCACTTGATATCTGCTTTCCATCTTGAAACCTTTTCTTGTCATCTTTCTTTTGCTCTCCTTGAGATTTTATACTTTATTTTTATTCCTTTATTACCATTTTATTAAGGCTTTGGAAATAGTGCACATATAGCCATATATTCAACCTCCAAGTAAACCAGAATCCTTTCATATTTTTTCTTTGTAGTGAAAGATGACAGCCAGCAGTTACCTAAAGACCCACATAAACGTATGAGGTAAGTTTTTCTTTATACAATTTTATATCTACTTATTTACCAAAAGGACTATTTATTTATTTATTTTACAAATTAAAATAATTTATTTTAGAAGGGTTTTTAACAAGGTTTGAAAAGATAACAGGCATTCATCAATTCCTCCATTCTGACATATTACAATTAATCAACGTTTTGCTGACTTGTAACAAATGTTGTTTATTTTTGTATACCCTAAGGATTAGATTTTTTTTTTGTGGTAGGTTTTATTTATTTTTTTATTGCATTTTAGGTTTTGGGGTACATGTGAGGAACATGCAAGATTGTTGCATAGGTACACACATGGCAGTGTGATGTGCTGCCTTCCTCCCCATCACCCGTATCTGGCATTTCTCCCCATGCTATCTCTTCCCAACTCCCCACCCCCTGCTGTCCCTCCCCCATTTCCCCCCAACAGACCCCAGTGTGTGATGCTCCCCTACCTGTGTCCATGTGTTCTCATTGTTCAACACCCACCTATGAGTGAGAACATGCAGTGTTTGATTTTCTGTTCTTGTGTCAGTTTGCTGAGAATGATGGTTTCCAGGTTCATCAATGTCCCTACAAAGGACACAAACTCATCATTTTTGATGGCTGTATAATATTCCATGGTGTATATGTGCCACATTTTCCCTGTCCAGTCTATCATCGATGGGCATTTGGGTTGGTTCCAGGTCTTTGCTATTGTAAACAGTGCTGCAGTGAACATTCGTGTGCATGTGTCCTTATAGTAGAACAATTTATAATCCTTTGGATATATACCCAGTAATGGGATTGCTGGGTCAAATGGAATTTCTATTTCTAGGTCCTTGAGGAATCGCCACACTGTCTTCCACAGTGGTTGAACTAATTTACACTCCCACCAACAGTGTAAAAGTGTTCCTATTTCTCCACATCCTCCCCAGCATCTGTTGTCTCCCAATTTTTTAATGATTGCCATTCTAACTGGTGTGAGATGGTATCTCAATGTACTTTCGATTTGCATTTCTCTAATGACCAGTGATGAGCATTTTTTCACATGTTTGTTGGCCTCACGTATGTCTTCTTTTGTAAAGTGTCTGTTGATACCCTTCGCCCACTTTTAAATGGGCTTGTTTGTTTTGTTCTTGTAAATCTGTTTTAGTTCTTTGTAAATTCTGGATATTAGCCCTTTGTCAGATGGGTAGACTGCAAAAATTTTTTCCCATTCTGTTGGTTGCCAATTCACTGTAATGACTGTTTCTTTTGCTGTTCAGAAGCTGTGGAGTTTGATTAGGTCTCATTTGTCTATTTTGGCTTTTGATGCCAGTGCTTTCAGTGTTTTGGTCATGAAGTCCTTGCCTATGCCTATGTCCTGAATGGTTTTGCCTAGGTTTTTCTTCTAGATTTTTTATGGTGTTAGGTCTTATGTTTAAGTCTTTAATCTGTCTGGAGTTAATTTTAGTGTAAGGTGTCAGGAAGGGGTCCAGTTTCTGCTTTCTGCCCATAGCTAGCCAGTTTTCCCAACACCATTTATTAAACAGGGAATCCTTTCCCCATTGCTTGTTTTTGTCAGGCTTGTCAAAGATCGGATGGTTGTAGATGTGTTGCCTCCAAGTCCTCTGTTCTGTTCCATTGGTCTGTATTTCTGTTTTGGTATCAGTACCATGCTGTTTGATTACTGTAGCCTTGTAGTATAGTTTGAAGTCTGGTAGTGTGATGCCTCCTGCTTTGTTCTTTTTGCTTAGAATTGACTTGGCTATGCGGGCTCTCTTTTGGCTCCATATGAAGCTTAAGGTGGTTTTTTCCAGTTCTGTGAAGAAGGTCATTGGTAGCTTGATGGGGATAGTGTTGAATCTGTAAATTACTTTGGGCAGTATGGCCATTTTCAAGATATTGATTCTTCCTAACCATGAACATGTTTCTCCATCTGTTTGTGTCCTCTCTTATTTCGTTGAGCAGCGGTTTGTAGGACTATTTATTTAAACTCTTTGTTTTTGTCATAATTAAATCTTTGTTTTTAACTTAGAAAAGTAAGTAAATATCTTTTCTCTTATAATATCTTTTTAAAATAGTCTTTTCAGAAAGAATGTGGAAATTTTCGAATTCTTTCTAGACTGTTGAATTAAAATTAAATATAACTGTGATCTCACTTTTTTTTATATTTGAAAAGAGAAGAATGTATTGTCAACCAAATGAGCACAGATCATTATAGAGCACAAAAATTCAAGCAATTTAGGAGAAGATAAGGTTCTCGGAAAAAATTGTAAGAGTTAGGGCTGAAGCCATTGTACCTTTCGGGAGAGAGCCTGTGAATGTGGCATCAGTTTACCTTGAACACCTGAAAAAGGTATAGGCTAGAAACATACGTATGATTCTGTGGCATTTAATTTCTTGAGCATTTCCATCAGCTTTATTTTGATAGTCAATCAGATATAGAAAATAGCCGATTAACTAGTGTTGAAACCATGTTTACTTTAGCTCATATTTCCTTGACTAGCTCCATATAAAAGTTGAATAAAATTAGGTAATTTAAGTGGTTTCTTTTTGTGAAAAACTGTTGAAAAATTGCAGAAAGGTAAGCATAATCTAGTTAATGGTACACTAGGTTGGTATTCAATAGAAGGCATTGCTACCCCTTAAACGTATCAATGTGGTTGACCATCCTGGCACAAAATAGGCCTGTGATAGTCATTCAATGTATAAAGGCAGTTTTATCACCTAAAACATGAATGTCCCTAGATGTCAAAAGTTATTACTCTTTATGGCATAATTATTTGCAGTTCATAAAGATACAGTGCCAGTGTTTACTAAGAAGGCAGTAAGAACAGAGCAGAAGTGTGGTCTCAGCTTCAGCAGGTCCTCTGAGCCAAACCAAGAATAAATGGTGCTAGAACGAGGTCTGATTTGTCATACTCGCCTTGTGCCAGACTGGACTTTCTAGAGAAGCCCTTAGGTAGGACTCATTTGATGCAGTGCAGTCTAGATTTCAATGATACTCTAGACTCATGCTGTGTATCAGGCTGTACTTTGTTGTGTGTCTGTGAATTCTAATGTTTGCCCCTGGTACATTTGCTCTGAAACAGAGCTCAGTTATGTCTAGTTCTTAGTTTTTAAATAATGCATTCACAATGAGATCTTGCAGAAAGTATTCAAAGAAAGATGCTGCTGTTAGTATTGTGTGTCTAGGGCCATTTCATGAGCTGGAAGAAATGGTCTGGCTGTAGAAATGTATTCCAAAGATATATCCAGGCAGTCGGGTCCCCTGTTTCTAAAAGACATAGCAAAACTCAGGCAAGGTCTATTTAACTGGGTACAATATAGTGGGGGAATCTTGCTGATGTTTAGGAATTGAAGGTGACTTGAACTTGCACTAGTCATCTTGGATGTTTGCAGTGGTCTATAGGATACCACTTACAGGTTATGGGGCAGGTTTTCAGCCCTTGGGAGAACAGCTACTTATTCATACGCTTAGAATGAGTTCACCGAGCATATGCTGTTTGCCAGGCATTGTGCCCCAGTGTGAGGATACACATTTGATTAATAAATGATCTCTAACCTCACAAGGTTTATACTCTAGCATTGGAAGCCCTCTTCTTTTTTCCCCATTCCATAAGTACAAATTATTTATTTTGTACTAATTGTTGCATGGTATCAGAAGATGTTCCTCTTCTGAAAGGGAGGCAGTGTAAGAAGTAGGCCTGTCCAGCCTTATGGACAATGTAGAGAGCATTTGCCACCAGAGAATGTAGTTGGAAGACCACAGGGAAGGTATCAAGATCGTGACTAAGGGAAGAATTCTGAGGGCAGATTGAATCATATCTGAAATGAGTCATATTTAACAGAAACCTCTTCCCACGTGGCTTTTATTTTTTCTAAGCTTCCTTCAGAGGCCTTCATTTTTTCACGATGTCATTCATCTCCGGAGCTGCTTCTTTTAAATGGAACTGCCTCTTTTAAATGCAATCAACATTTCATTGAGCCATGCCTGTTTACTGTTGTAGTACTTAAATATAATTCAGTAAGTGCTATGATAGAGGTAAGATCAAGATGCTGGGGGGCACATAGGGAGACACATCTTACTCAGGCTTGGCAGAAATTGGGAGAGGAACACATAAAGAGCAGCTGTCAGAGAAGGTGATGCCAAAATGACTTCTAAAGGCAGAATAGGGATTCATCTATAGACTACGGGGCCAGAGGATCCTGGGGAGAGGGAACAGCACAGTCAAAAGCGTGGAGATATAACAGGACATCTTTCCCACAGTCTGACCTAGGGGAAGGCATTTTGACAACCTGAATAAAAAGTTAACATGAATTGTGAATGCCAGGGGTAACCAAAGTAAGATTATCAGGAGTTGAGATAAAAACTAGAAGAGGAAAGGATTGGTTGCTAGATAATCAAGAAAGGAGAGGAAAATGAAAGATACATGACGAGCATGCTAAATATACATTGATGTGCGAGTAGCTAAATCATTTAAAGGGGCAGGCACAAGACAAAACTTGAGGGATACAGACAGAAGAGTGTAACATTTGCATTTTATATTAAAAATCCTAAGACAAATGCATGCCTTCGACACAGCATTTCCACTTCTAGCAATGTATCTTTAAAGATTATAGAGATTCCAAAATTATTTGAAGATATAGAGATTCCAAAAATGTTAATCGTACAATTATATATAATGAGAAATTGAAAACAGAATGTGTAACAAAACTGATTGATTAAATAAATATTGGTTTAGGCAGTAATGTCCAAAAAGCAGCCTTTGGATATGATTCTGGAGACATATTTGTCAACATTAAAAGTAAGTGAGAAGTTGGACATAGAAATTCAGTGTTGCAAGATGAAGAATTTCTAGAGATCTCTTGCACAACAATGTAACTACTCTTAATACTACTGAACTGTACACTCAGAAATGGTTAAGATGATAATTTTAAAGTTATGTGTTTTTACTACAATAAGAAAGTAAATGAAAAGAGTGCATCATAAAACACTGTATATGGTATTATCACACACACACAAAACTGAGAGGCCTTTCTAGAATAGCAAGTGAAAGAATCTCAATTCTTCCATTTACTATGTGACTAAGAAAAGTTAATTTCTCTGTGTCTCAGTTTCTTCATAGATTAAATGCTAGTAATAGTACTGATTTCATAGAATTGCTATGAAGATTAAATGGGTTAAGTACATAGAAAGCAATTGTAATAACTTTAGTCAAAGATAACTCAAGAACCTTGTTATGAGGTAAACTTGTAGATGATATTATCTTAAAAAATCAAGATTTGTGAAATTGAAAGAAAAATAGAGTAAAAATTTGGGAGAGAGTGACGTGAGGACCCTAAATTGAATATGAGCATGGTGTGTTAGAGAATCAGTAAGAAGTCTCCTGTTGCTAGAACGGAGCAAGAGGGAAAAGACAAGAGTGGTAGATGGAGGTAAGAGAAGTAGGCTGGGCTAAGTCACTTAGGACTTTATAAACCATGTAAGGAATTTAGATTAGTTTTATTATACCAGGTAAGGAAATTGGGACAGAATTGAACAGCTTTTAGGAAAGGGAGAGACAGAATAAGATTTGCCTTTTAAAAGGAGTACTTTTAACTGCTATGAGGACAATGGTTTGTGAAGGATCTAAGGTGGAAGCAAGGAGAAGAGTTATTAGATTATTTCTGTTGATTGGGGCAAGACAATGGCGATTCAGTCAAGGGTTTGGGCATAGGTATGGAGGAGGAGAAGTGAGTCGATTAAAGGCTTGTGTGGAGGAATTACTGATTCAGTGTGGGGTGTGAGAAAAAAGTGGGACTAAGGATAATTACTAGTTTTGGGGTTGGACTGGGTGGGTACTGCCGTTGCTTACTGAGATGGAAAAGATGAAGACACCATTGACTTAAATTAAGATGAATAATTCCATTTGTTGGTGAAGGTATGGAGTCATTGGAGCCTTGATGCATTGCTGCACACATTGTTTTACCACTTTACATGCCCACAACCAGTTTGAAACAGTTTAACAGTTTCTTATAATGTCAAACATTACCTTTTCTATACTCTAATAATTCTACTCCTAAGTATTTACCTAAAAGAAATGAAAACTGTGTGTTCACAAGAAGATATAACTTGTACACAAATGTTATAGCAGCTTTATTTATAACATCTCAAACCAAAAACAACCAAAATGTCAATCAACAGTTGAATGCATAAATAAATTGTACTATATTATTATATAGAATATGCTCAGCAAATAAAAATGAATAAATTATTGATACATGCAATAACAGAATAAATATGCAGGCATTATGTTGAGTGAAAGAAAACACAGTAACGAAAGAATACACACTGTATGATTCAATTTATATGAAGTTCTAGGACAGGCAAAACGAATCTGTCAGATTAATCAGATAAGCGATTGCCCACAATGTCAAGGGAGATTGACTGGGAAGGGGCAGTAGGAAATTTTCTGAAATAATGAAAATAGTCTACATCTTGTTTGGGGTAATGGTCATGCGGGTGTACACTTTTGTTTCAAAATTCATCAATCTGTACACTTAAAACATGTGCACTTTATTAAATGTAAATTATGCTTCAATAAAATTTATTTTAATAAAGTATTCAAGCCAGGTAAGGTGGCTTGGGCCTGTAATCCCAGCTGTTTGGCCAAGGTGGAAGGATTTCTTGAGCCCAGGAGTTCAAGATCAGCCTGGGCAATATTGTGAGACCCATCTCTCTCTTTTTTTTAAATTATACTTTAAGTTCTGGGGTACGTGTACAGACCTTGCAGGATTTTTGCATAGGTACACACATGCCATAGTGGTTTACTGTCTCCATCTCCCCATCACCTACATCAGGCATTTCTCCCAGTGTTATCCCCCTCCAACCTCCCCACCCCCCATCCCCCAACATACCGTAGTGTGTGATGTTCCCCTCCCTGTGCCCATGTATTCTCATTGTTCTATGAGTGAGAACATGCGGTGTTTTGTTTTCTGTTCTTGTGTCAGTTTGCTGAGAATGTTCGTTTCCAGATTCATCCATGTCCCTACAAAGGACACAAACTCATCATTTTTATGGCTGCATAGTATTCCATAGTGTATATATGCCACATTTTCTTTGTCCAGTCTATCATCAATGGGCATTTGGGTTGGTTCCCGGTCTTTGCTATTGTAAACAGTGCCACAGTGAACATACGTGTGCATGTGTCTTTATAACAGAACAATTTGTAATCCTTTGGATATATACCCAGTAATGGGATTCCTGAGTCAAATGGAATTTCTATTTCTAGACCCTTGAGGAATCGCCACACTGTCTTCCACAATGCTTGAACTAATTTACACTCCCACCAACAGTGTAAAAGAGTTCCTGTTTCTCCACATCCTCTCCAGCATCCGTTGTCTCCAGATTTTTTAATGATCACCATTCTAACTGGTGTGAGATGGTATCTCAATGTAGTTTTGATTTGCATTTCTCTAATGACCAGTGATGATATTTTTTGATATGTTTGTTGGCCTCATATATGTCTTCTTTTGAAAACTGTCTGTTCATATCCTTCACCCACTTTTGAATAGGTTTGTTTGTTTGTTTCTTGTAAATCTGTTTTAGTTCTTTGTAGATTCTGGATATTAGCCCTCTGTCAGATGGGTAGATTGCAAAATCTTTTTCCCATTCTATTGGTTGCCAGTTCACTCTAGTGATTGTTTCTTTTGCTGTACAGAAGCTCTGGAGTTTAATTAGATCCCATTTGTCTATTTTGACTTTTGTTATCAATGCTTTTGGTGTTTAGTCATGAAGTCCTTGCCTATGCCTGTGTCCTGAATGGTTTTTCCTAGGTTTTCTTCTAGGATTTTTATGGTGTTAGGTTTTATGTTTAAATCTTTAATCCATCTGTAATTAAAAATATGGAATGCTTCACGAATTTGCCTGTCATCCTTGTTCAAGGGCCATGCTCATCTTCTCTGTATAGTTCCAATTTTGTGTATGTGTGCTGCCGAGGCGAGCACAACCCATCTCTTAAGAAAAAGATATTCAGTTATCTTTAAAACACTTTAAAAATATATATTCAAACCTTTTCAATGAGTAGAGAAAATGACTGTATTTCTAAACCTCTAAACTCAGATTCTAAATTCTGAGATTACTACAAGAAAGGAAATTATCAGTCAGTAACTCCTATTAGCATAAGTGCATAAATTCTAATCAAAATATTAGTGAATTGAATCCACTGATAAATAAAAAGCTATAACAATGACCAAATGGGACTGATTATAAGAAAGCAAGATTGGTTTGATATTCAAAAATCAATTTGGGTAACACATTTTATCAGCCAAATAAAGAAAAAAGCCATAAAATTATCTCAGTGAATTCAGTATTTCTTAAAATTTAACACCCATTCATAATAATAATTTTAAAAAATCTTAGCAAACTGAAATAGAAATTCCCTTACTTCAGTAATGGGAATCTACAAAAGTTCAACAACCAATTTCATATGAAAATGTGAAATGTTGAATGCTCTTCTTCTGAGTTTAGGAATAAGGTAAGTATGCCTACTATCACCACTTCTATTCAGCATTGTACTGGAGGTCCTAGCCAGTGCAATGAGGCAAGGAAAAGAAAGAAAAATTTTAAAGTTTGGAAAGGATGAAGCAAATTATCTTTATTCATAGATAACATGATTCATGTGCATATATGTGCATAGTAAAATCCAAATGAATATAAAAAACTTGAAAATTGATTAGTGAATTTAGCAAAGTCTCATGGTACAAGATTAAAGTTAAGATTAAAAATCAACTTTATTTCCATATACCCTTAATCAACAGATAGAAACTGAAATTTTTAAAATACCATTTACAGGCCGGGCGCGGTGGCTCAAGCCTGTAATCCCAGCACTTTGGGAGGCCGAGGCGGGTGGATCACGAGGTCAAGAGATCGAGACCATCCTGGTCAACATGGTGAAACCCCGTCTCTACTAAAAATACTAAAAATTAGCTGGGCATGGTGGCGTGTGCCTGTAATCCCGGCTACTCAGGAGGCCGAGACAGGAGAATTGCCTGAACCCAGGAGGCGGAGGTTGCGGTGAGCCGAGATCACGCCATTGCACTGCAGCCTGGGCAACAAGAGCGAAACTCTGTCTCAAAAAAAAAAAAAAAAAAAAAAAAAAAAATACCATTTACAGCAGCATCCAAATGTAACAAAACATGTAGAAGACATCTATACTGAAAACCACAAATATTCTGAGAGAAAATGTAAAAGACGTAAAGCAGTAGAAATATCCAATGTTTGTGGCTTGGGAAACACTCAATATTATTATATTGTTAATTCTTCTGAAATTAAACTGCAGATTCAATTCAATCTCAATCCAAATTCCTGCTTTTTTAAAATGAAATTTGTGAGCAAGCTCTAAAATATATCTAAAAGTATGAAGGACATAGAATAAGAAGGCAATCTTGAAGAAAGTTAGAGCATTGATGCCCCTAGATATCAATATGTACGAGAAAACGACTATAACTTTGCTGTAATTGGATCTTTTTAGATCAAGTTCCTGTTCCTGAATTAGGCATCATGGTCAGACAGCCCTGACCCCATCAGCCTCTGATTTACAGCCAGCGGTGGGGTCAGTCCCGTCAGAGAGTATGGTATCTACATAATGCGGGAAGAATGCAAGAGCTGTTGAAGAGGCAACTACAGTGTCTGCTCTGACAACCTTCAAATGCAAAATATTTTTACTGGATCCAAACTTTGATGAGTAAGAGTTTGACAGGCACAGAGGAGACAAGAGTCTCTAGAACAGCTTTCACAGGAAGAGGAGTGTCATCCTGTGGTATGCTCAGATTAGTAGGAAATTCTCTGTGATGGAGCCTCAGGATGTGGGGATGGATAACAGAAAAAAAGGATGGAAAAGGCCAGATGGTGAAGAGCCTCAGGTTCTATTTGAAAGTATTTAGATGTCTTTGTATAGAATTATATAACCAAATGTGGTTTTCTTTTTCTTTTTCTTTTTTCTTTTTTTTTTTCTTTTTTTTCTTTTTTTTATTTTTTTTATTTTGAGACAGAATCTTGCTGTCACCCAGGCTGGAGTGCAGTGGCGCAATCTCAGCTCACTGCAACTTTTGCCTCCAGGTTCAAGCAAGTCTCCTGCCTCAGCCTCTCCAGTAGCTAGGATCACAGGCACACGCCACCATGACCAGCTAATTTTTATATTTTTAGTAGAGACGGGGTTTCACCATGTTGGCCAGGTTGGTCTCGAATTCCTGACCTCTGACCTCAGATAATCCGCCCACCTCAGTACCAAATATGGTTCTCAAGCAGAGGTATGATAACCTAGAATAGGGAGAGTTAGGGGTAGAAAAACTACAAGGAAGCTGTTTAGAGTTAATAGGAGAGAAATGATGAGGTACTTACCAAGGCAATGGAGACCAGCTGACACTAAGTGCTGACGAGGTGCTAAACTTGGTTGTTTTCATGCATGATTTCATTGAATGCTCACAACAACCACTTGAGAAAGTTTAATCTCCTGATTTTATAGAAACAGACCTGGTGAGGTTAAGTAGCTTGCTCCAGAGCCACACAGCTAACAAGCAGAAGCGCCAGAGAGTTTTAACCCAGGCCAGCTGATTCCAAACCCTGCACTCTTATCCATGATACTACCCAACTAGGCCATGACAGAAATAAAGGGTCCAACCAGAGATATTTAGGGGTTTAATTGTTAGACTTTGGTTATGGTTGGGATGTTGCTTCCATGAAATAACCATGATTTTCTTCTTCACTTAATGAACCTTTCTCTTTCCTTCACTGGCTCCTCTTAATTATAAGTTGGTTTCTGCTCTTTCTTTTCCAAATACTTTTTTGGAGGTTGTTTTCTCTAGTGGCTTCACCTATCACTGATTTTGCTGATTTAACCCAAATCTCTGATTTCTAATCTCAGTGTCTTAATCACACTCCTCAAGATCATTTTGACTTGTCTGTACTATCGCCTGAAATCTATGTCTAAAATTAAACTCCCATTTTACTTCAGTGTCTCTTGATGCTTTCTATTAACAGCAAAACTAACCAGGCTTCTGGGCTTTAGAAGAATATTTGATTGTAATATTCCTTCACTTTTCACACCCTGTCAGGCAACCAACCAGTCCAGTCAACTTTTTAGCATTGCTTCAGACTCATCTCCCTTTCATAACCTTTGCTGCCACTCTGCTATTGGCTCTCAGTGGCTCATTCTTGAATTACTATGTTTGTTTCCTATCTGGTCCTCATGCATTTAATCTCTCTTCTATACTCCACCCTGCTTATTACTTTCAAGGAAAAGTCTTGCTCCAACACGGATTTCATCATTTACTTGCCTTATTCAAGAACTACTGATGGCTATTACCCAACAAATCAAGATTACTGAATCAACTCTAACCTATTCTCTGCCTAAATTTGAGGACCCTGCACAGCCCAGTTTTGCTTATTTTATCAATTTCAACTCCTCTGAATTTGAACTCTCCATTCTAGTCAATCATCCTATTACTATTATGCTTCTTCCCCTAACCCTCTGTACATACATATCCACATGCCATGCGCTCTCCCATCTGAACAATTACTAATACTCTTCCCTTGGCCTAGAGTGTCCCCTTATTTTTTTCCAGACCTGTATCCCAAATGACTGTTTTCCTGATGACTTAAAAAAAAAGTTATATCTCCCTCCTCTGACTTCCTTGCTTATTGCCACTGCCAGAGCAAAGAAGTAACTGTAATTATATTCTCCAAATGTCTCTATTAAACCATGTAACACTTTATTGTGTTCATATATAAAGCTGTTCCATTCACTAGTCCAGGTATGTATCTTATTTTTCCAACAGGATAACAAATTCTAATGTTCAGTTTAAAATTATGTCTTCCAGTGTCATGATTCCTCAAGGACCAGAAATAGAAACTCCATTTAAGCCAGGAATCCCATTACTGGGTATATATCAAAAGGATTATAAATCATTCTGTTATAAACACACATGGACACATATGTTCATTCTGGCACTGTTTACAATAGCAAAGACCCGGAACCAACCCAAATGCCCATCAATGATAGACTAGACAAGGAAAATGTAGCACATATACACCATTGAATACTATGCAGCCATAAAAAATGATGAGTTTGTGTCCTTTGTAGGGACATGGATGAATCTGGAAACCATCATTTTCAGCAAACCGACACAAGAACAGAAAATCAAAGACCACATATTCTCACTCATAGATGGGTGTTAAACAATGAGAACACATAGACACAAGGAGGGAAGCATCACACACTAGGGTTTGTTGTTGGGGGCTAAGGGAGGGACAGGGACAGTGGGGGTTAGGGAGTTGGGGACGGATAACATGGGGAGAAATGCCAGATATAGGTGACGGGGATGGAGGCAGCAAACCACATTGCCATGTATGTACCTGTGCAACAATCCTGTATGTTCTGCACATGTACCCCAGAACCTAAAGTGCAATAAAATATATTAAAAATAATAATAAAATAATGTCTTCTACTCTTTTTGTATTCATAATGTCAATGATAATGCTCAGTAAATTCCCATGATTGGTTGCAACTATAGACACATGTATTTTTGTGCTGTATCTGTCCCCATAAGCTTAGTTTATCTGAATAAAAGTAAAATATAGTTATCGTTCTCTTTTTTTAAGGCATTGTTTCCTTTAGAGAATTGAAAATTCAAATACTCCCAAATGTATAAGACATTTTGCTTTGTATATTCAAACCACACTAAAGTTATACCTTTTAGGGTAATATTTTTAATTATTATGAAGGAAAAACCAGAAAGCCCCTGAAGGCTAACAGTTTGAAATTGAACAGGACACTCTTGGGAAGGGAAAGGGTCATGGGTCGAGGTCAAACAGACAAAAAACAATGGAGACGATTGTGCCTGAAGATGGTGTATTTTTTTTCACGAGACAGTGTGTTGACAGTTTCCTTCCTCTTGAGTCATTGTTGTGTGCTAAATGATCTGTGACAGCAAATCGATCACAAGCTTTTTCATGCAAGAGATATAATGCAGCCTTTCATTCTGTTACCTCTGTTGCCAAATGCTGAGACATTTCATTGGCAAATTCATGTTAGTTTAGTATATCATTTAGTCATCTATAGCACAGCATGCAGCTCTGGAAGCAATAATAGTAATTATTAATTTATCTTCCCCAGGTTTCAAATTTCTACCTAGGTGTGATTGTAAAAGTAATAACACATTCAAAAAATGTTAGTCTTAAAATTAGGTGTCCATATTGTTATTTAAATAAATGAATGAATTAACACATTTAGATAATGCCCGATTAATTTCAAAGTTGAGTCAAATACTTAGTTTAAGGTATCTATGATTTACCTGTAAAACTAATGCTGATATACTTTCTGACTGAAAACTTGCTGCTTCTTCCAAAGAGCTAAGAACTTAAATTGGAAAACAGGCATAAGGCATATTGCACTGAATGTTTAAGTATATGTTTAAGCCAGTTAACTAGTGATTTCACGTCTGAAAAAAATATGCTTAAGTAATATTTTGTTTACAGAGTCTTGAGAATCTCTGCATTTAAAAAGTCTGTGGGAAAAATGCTTGGTAATGCAGTTATTTAAGGGACTGCTTTATAGTTCCTGTTTAACAGCTTATAGCAATCATTGGTCTCCATTAGGACATAGTCATATTAGCCCAGGGAGGGAGAAGTAGCAGGCAGGAGTATTAGGAAAGAGTTGTTATTCCTGTCTTTGAAAACAGACAGATTCTCTGTAAAAACTAAACTAATCTCAATTATTATTATTATTATTATTATTATTATTTTTTTTTTGAGATGGAGTTTTGCTCTTGTTACCCAGGCTGGAGTGCAATGGCGCGATCTCGGCTCACTGCAACCTCTGCCTCCTGGGTTCAGGCAATTCTCCTGCCTCAGCCTCCTGAGTGGCTGGGATTACAGGCACGTGCCACCATGCCCAGCTAATTTTTTGTATTTTTAGTAGAGACGAGGTTTCACCATGTTGACCAGGATGGTCTCGATCTCTCGACCTTGTGATCCACCCGCCTCGGCCTCCCAAAGTGCTGGGATTACAAGCTTGAGCCACCACGCCCGGCCACTAATCTCAATTATAATGCTTATATTCTGGCCTCATTATAAGAAATAAAGTTTTTTTACTAGAATTGGCATAGAAGTTCAAGAAAGATGTTTATTGTTTATTACAGAATGAGAAATTGACAGGTATAATGCTTTGCTTAAAGTTATTTTTTAATGTTAGTTAGGAAAGGCAGATGTCTTAAACCTGTATTTTTCTTTTTATAATATACACATGGATCCATATTTATATTATTGAAAAATGATTTGGACATTTTCTTTTTTGTGATTTGTATTCATTATTGCTGAAATCAATATGTTGATACATTTGTTAAAAATGCATGTTATAATTTGCAAGTCAGTTTAATATCTTGTGACAAGATATTATGTGAATAGTCCATATAACAATACAATAATTTTAAAGAGAAAATTTACAAACTACCCATTGTCTGATTTTTCTTTATATTTTCAGATCAATTAAAAGAGTCCTATTTAGTGATTACTACCAGATATGGTCTGAAATAGCTACATCAGCAGCCACAGAATACTACAGAACTCCATGTAAGGTGAACTATTCTTATCCTATGTCCTTTTGGTATATGTTAATCTGTTAACATTTATCTTGCTTTCAAAGACTAATTGGTACACATCTGCTAGGGAAGAGTAATAAACTTCTCTGTAGTTGCTATAAACTATTCATTCAACAACTATTAATTATTTTTAAAAATTCTTTTAATTTTAATTTTTTGTCTTAAGAGACAGGGTCTCACTCTGTCACCCAGGCTGGAGTGCAGTGGTGCAAACATAGCTAACTGCAGCCTCAAACTCCTGGACTCAAGCAATCTTTCTGCTTCAGCCTCATGAGTAGGGAGGATTATAGGCAAAATCCACCACACATGGCTAATTTTTTTAATTTTACATTTTAGAGATGGGGGGTCTCACTATGTTGCCCAGGCTAGTTTGAAACTCCTGGCCTCTAGCAATCCTCCTGCCTCAGCCTCTCAATAAAGAATCAAAGTTGCATAGATCCCTGGACTGAAGTCTGATTAAAAGCTAAAAGAGAGATAGTTAATTGGAGGAATAACAGAAAAGCTCTCAATCTTATGAGGTTTACTTTACTCCCTTTACCACAGAGAAAAGCCTTCACACCAGAGAGAACCTTTATATTTCTCTTCTAAGCCACAGGAAATATTAGGTAGAAATTTAGCGAGAAAATATAAGAACATAGGGCTGTTCAGTTTATCAACCTAAAAGGAAAAATCATCTGTTACCCTCATTAGGACCTAAAAAGACAGAATGGGAGAGTTGGACAACTTTCTGGCTCTATTTAATTGGATCTTTAGAGTACTGTTTCATTATCTGGATGAAAGTTAGGTTATCCAGTCTGCGTACACTTACTGAAATATGACTTTGCTTCAGCTGTCCTTCGAAAATGGTGCATTCTGCAGTAGCAGAGATTTCTGAATTCCCAGATGCAACAATTGCATTTTAGTCCTCTTCTTACTTGCACTCTCACTAGCTGTGCTCTCGTTGATTTACAGGACACCATATATCCATGCTCTTTCATCTCCCTGCCTAAGCATTGCGCTGCCTCTTCTTCCTTCAGTCCTCTCTGCTTACTCTCTCTTACAGACCTCTTCCACTACCATGGCTGCCTACGTGCCAGTGATTCCTAAAGCTGCATCGCTAGCCAGACCCCTCTTCCGAATTTTACATGCAGTTATATTTAGAACTGTGCAGGGGATATCTCACCTACATGTATTGTAGGTATGTCATATTCAAGATGTCTCAAAGTGAATTCATCATCTTGCCCCAATCTATCCTTCTTCCTTTATTTGCTCTCTTGGTTAGTGGTAGATGACCATTTTTACATTTTCTTACCTAAGCCAGAATGTTAGAAGTTTCCTACATCTCTTGATCTCTCTCATTAAGTCTTATTGATTTTATCCCCTGCAACATTATGAATGCTTCTACTCTACTCCACCCCATAACCATTGCCTTAATTTGAGGTCTCATTGTATTTCATCTCATCATTGCAATAGTTTCTTTTCGTGAAAAATAGTATCTAGTTTCAAGGCACAAATGAGGGCAAAGAATGGTACTAAGCTTAATAAATATTCTTAAAAGGTAAATTAGATCAATAACTTTTAAGAAATCACATGTTCTTTCAGGAGGTCAGCTGCAATTATTTTGTGATTATATGTTACCATCCTCATAGGTCAAAATAATTTAAGGTACATTGAGATATATAATCTTTAGCAGTTCTATCAGTATAAAATATTAATTATTTTCATACCAGAGTTCTTTAATGGCTAATTCAGGTCACAGATTTGTTAATGCAGCTTAGTCAGTTCAGCAAACACATCAGCTGTGGGTACCTACTCTGTATGAGTCACTGAGAAGCTTGTATAGGCTTTGAGGGCAATAACCCTTAATTACAGTTGAGAGTCATTAGTTGGCACACTCTAGGGAACCACTCAGAGTCAAACTTCTTCCACCAAAAAATAGATTGTTACAGGATCATGCTTTCTAGAATAACATGTAAATATATAGGGCCACTTAGAAACACCAAACTGCTAGAGGAAGAAAAAAAATAGAAGCATGTCCCAAAACTTAAAGAGATATGGGAATGCTTGTCTTGCAATAAAGAATAATTGAAAATGGAAGGAAATAATAAGGCAACCACTGACCACAGTTTCTTCCTCAAAAAGAGTTTGGCCCCCGAAATGTTTAATTTTGTTTTTTCTACATCTGTCACTAACCTAGTATGTAATTCATCCCTGTTTCTAAAGGCAATAACTGGTCATCGTTATCTCTAGCCCAAAAGAATTTCTGAGACTTTGAATCTAGCACTTGGTGCATGATTTCACAATCACCATGCCTTTTCTTCCCTTAGGGAATTGTTATAAGAATGTTTCAAGAGCTTTCCTTGAATAATAACCAGCAATTAATTTAAAAAAATTAAATGTAAACTTCACATGTGCTGCTGGCCATTTTATCTTTTGATAGTCCAGCTGGATGAGCTCCAACACTATCTTTTTTAATAGCCTAATTTCCTGGCAATAATAAAGATGAAGCTTTTAGATTATAGAATGCTTCTTCAACTACTCAGAAATAAAAGAGAAACTTCTAATAACTTCATTTTCTACAGTTACATTCTTAGCATTGGAAAGATTATTAAACTCTTGAGCATATTTTTAAGAGCTTTATCTTTTATGAATAGTGGTAAGTAGTTAAATTTTGATTTTGGGTATTAACTCTTTTCCCTGTCTTGTGCCACAAATCTATATTTAGTCGTTGGTATCATAATAATAGTAAGTTTATTCTTGTATAATGCAGTTTATGAAATATATTCATTTATTTTTAGCCATCCCAGTCTATCACTCTTTTATTTATTTATTCAGCCAGTATTATTAAACACCGAATATATGTCCTGCATAGTGGTATATCAACCCTATGTGCCAGGTATTATTATTATTATTATTACTTTGTTTTAAGATGAGAAATGTAAGACCAGAAAAGCTAAGTAATTTACCTAAGGTCATACATGTGAGAAAGAATATCATATGTTGGTAAACAATGTACATCCTGAGGTCAGATTTAACAGAGTTTCATCCTGGCTCTGCCATTACTAGCTGTGTTGCTTTGGTTAAGTAGTTTAACCTCTCTGTGTCCCAGTTTTCTCATCCATAAAATGAGAATAATCACAGCACCTACTTAATAGAGTTGAAGCACTTAAAACAGTGCCCAGCATGTAGTGAGTTCTCAATAAGTATGCAAATTATTAAATCGGTATGCTATGGTCCCAGAGACTTGAACCACATCTTTTGACTCCACATTTGTTGCTCTTTCCCTGATACTCTACTGCCTCCATAATATGACAACAAATTGTTATCTCCGTATGTGTGAGATTGAAATTCAAACTCAGAAGTACATGTAGCATGTTTGTAAATAACTATAATTTTTAGTTCATAAGCATAGGCAATCGTGGAAAATGTACCAAGGACCCACTGTTCTTTCTCCATTGCTACAGAATGGCAAGTGAAAGATTTGGCAGAGAACAAGCCAATACATATGGTTGTGGGCAACAGTGCCTTAGTGACAGAATATGGTCCACATAAGGAAATGTTTATGTTAGAGGAAAAGAATTCCTCCAGACCAGTGTACTCTGTAATGCATAGCCTAGGCTTCCTGATGTTTGTTTGCTGTCATCAAGACAGACCAAACAGCCTGAAGCATGATGCGGATGTTTGCTTCACCCTAGGAGACTTTTATTCTTTGAGTCTTTAAGCCATCAATAAGGGCAAGTGTCTCCAAAACACATTTAGATGCAAGAAGCAGTATCATCTGACTCTAATGCTGTGGTTCTCAGTCTTGACTGCTCATTAGAACCACCTGAGGAGCTTGTAAAAATTTCAGTATAGGGGGCACACCCAAAACCAATTACATCATAATCTCTGGGAGTAGGACCAGGCAGTAGTAGTTTTTAAAGCTCCCCAGGTGACTGCAATGTGCAACCAAGGCTGGGAAGGCCCTAGTGGGAAGAGCATGATGTCAGAAGTTAGAAACTCCTTAGCCTTGTATCAGTTTTGCCATATGTAGGTAAGTGAATTTAAGGTAGTCACTTAACTCTTTGTACTTTGGTTTTCATTTCTATTGATTGACAAAAATATTCCATCCTACTTTATGTTGCTCTATGGTTAGCATGAGAGAGCATGTGTGAAAATAGAGCATGCTGAGGCAAGTCGGTGCTATTATTCTTTTTGGGATGTGACCATTCTGTAGTGGAAAAAAAATTCAGGGCAACCTGTACAGATGTTGGACAAGAGGAGTGTCACAGAAAAGAAAAAAAAAAAAAAAAAAGCAGAGTAGAAGCAATGCCCTGGAATCTGCAGAAGGCACAACAGAAAAGGAAGGAGAACTATACGGTGGAGGCAACAGAGGATGCTTTCCTACCACAGCTTACAACAAAACTGCCACACGTGCAAGATATCACAGTGATGAAGGAATTTCAACTTGAAGAACTTCTGCTAAAATTACATGGCTCCTTTCTTCTCTGTTTCCTGTCCTCATTCTTTGATTATTTCTCTCCAATCAGTGTCATTCCTTGAGCACCTTCTATATTTAGACAATTGGCTATGCTGTGGGAGACAAGAAGACATGTATTGTGTTAAGCTCTTCAGGGAGTTTACAGGCAATTGGTAGGAGACAGATGAGTGAAAAAAATCATAGGGATAAAATATGAGAAGTGTTAAAAGTTTGTACAAAGTACTGTGGCATTTTCATCTCTCAGATGATGGAGAAAGCAATGAAGAAAATGAGTCAATGATATAAAACTAATGGGACCATTCAGGAAAGATGACCGTGTCATTTGGGATTTCATAATATATAAGGAAGAGACAGCCATACATATTCAAATATAAAATGAGGAAAGGCAATCTCAAAAAGTTTAAGAAAAGATATGAATTATCCTTAAATAGAAACCTCAAAAGGAAATAGCATTCGTGAGAGATTAAATTTTAAATTTTAGCCAAGAGTAATGAAGAGTCCCAATGAGAAGACATTAATCAACCTCTCTCTGTCTGTTTGCCCACCTGTACAGTGGGTATTCTAATGGTAACCATATCTATTTTACATGTGTCCCAGCATACAATAAAAATTCTGGCTGGATGCAGTGGCTCACGCCTGTATTCCCAACACTTAGAGCAGGTGTCCCCAAACTACGGCCGCATGCAGCCCCCTGAGGCCATTTATCCGGCCCCCCACCGCACTTCAGGAAGGGGCATCTCTTTCATTGGTGGTCAGTGAGAGGAGCACAGTATGTGGCGGCCCTCCAATGGTCTGAGGGACAGTGAACTGGCCCCCTGTGTAAAAAGCTTGGGGACGCCTGACTTAGACCAAAGCAGGTGGATCACTTGAGGCCAGGAATTTGAGACCAGCCTGGCCAACATGGTGAAACCTCATCTCTACTGAAAATACAAAAATTAGCCAGGCATGATAGTGCACACCTATAATTCCAGCTACTCGCTGGCTGAGGCATGAGATTCACTTAAACCTGGGAGGTGGAGGTTGCAGTAAGCCCAGATTACACCACTGCATTCCAGCCTGGGCGACAGAATGAGACTGTAAAAAAACAAAAAATCTGCTAATGTTAATTATTATAATCATCTAAAGGAAATAATGCAACCTCACAAGAACTCTGGGGAGCTAAGATTTACTTATTTAATGGAAGGGAGGAGTATATATTCAAATACCAATAAAAAGTATTAATAAAGTCTATGAGAATATGCATGTATGTGTGCTTACATCTGTTTGAGGCAAGAAAATTAAGGAACAGACAAAAACATTGTTCATGAAAATCATGTAAAAAAGGAAACTATTCAGTTACAATTTTTTTTTTCTTCCAATGGCAAATGTTATCAAACTAAAAGGGGTAAATTAATCATTATTAAGAAGAAAGCCCAGGCTGGGCATGGTTGTTCATGTCTGTAATCCCAATTGGGAGGCCAAAGCAGGAGGATTGCTTGAGCCCAGGAGTTTGAGACCAGCCTGGGCAAAATGGTGAGACTCCATCTCTACAAAAAAAATTTTTAAATTAGCCAGGCATGGTGGCATGTGCCCATAGTCCCAGCTACTTGGGAGTCTTGAGTGGGAAGATCCCTTGAGCTCGGGAACATGAGGTGGCAGTGAGCTATGGTCATGCCACTGTACTCCAGCCTGGGTGACAGGGTGAGACCCCATCTCAAAAAAAAAAAAAAAAAAGAAAAGAAAAGAAGAAGAGAAGAAGAGGAAGAGGAGGAGGAGGAGGAAGAAGGAAGAAGAAGACGAGGAGAAGAAGAGGTGGCCTCAGACAAGGCCAAGACTGGTGGAGAGCATCTAGCTGGTTAAATAGTTCAAGACCGTAAGCTAAGCTCAAAACAATAATAAAAAATAGGAAAATAGATGAAGTACATATGGGCATGTGATCTGGCTTAATAATATATCATGTAAAAATTACCAGTGCCTTAAACATAGTAGGCTTTTAATAAATCTTATGTGAATTTGATTGGAGGTGTAGGCTTGTAATTAACCACAAACTTATGAGCCAGTGGTGATGTAATGTGAATTCCAGAAAACACTAATGCGGGTCTGAGCTGAATTGATAGTGCACAGGGCAAGCGAGGTAGTAAGCCCCTTTGCATCTTTGCTTCAAACCAGTTGATCCAGTTCTAGACACAAACTTTAATAGGAACATCAAAGAGTTTATCACCAGGAAATTAAGGATGGTTAAGTTTCTAGAAAAGCATATCCTAAGAAACAGTTGAAAGAACTGAGGCTTCCCTGTGAGCTATTAGAGGGCTGTCTCCTGTGGGAGAGGGATGAACTTAGTGTCACTCCAGAGGTTAGAAGCAAGACCAGTGGAAACTCGCTGCTGTCAGATTCAGGAAGGACATTGTAACCCTTACCTGCCAATGGAGTGGGCAGTCTCCCAACTACAAAGTGATGCATTTTCTGTGGTTGACAAGTAATTCGTTCAGAGCCTGGATGATCATCTGTTGGAGATTCTGGCTCTGTGAAAGATCAAGCAAGGTCTTTAATGTCACTTCCAACTTGAAAATTTCAATTTGAATTAGAATTTTGTTAAACTATGATGTCTGGGTTTTATGTGAGTTATTTTAATACTCTCTTCATTATTGTTGCTAAAAGCAAAATTTCTCTTTTTAAATTTTTATTTATTTTTGGGAAAGGGTCTCGCTCTGTCACCCAGGCTGGAGTGCAGTGGTGTGATCTCAGCTCACTGCAACCTCCGACTCCTGGGTTCAAATAACTCTTGTGCCTCAGCCACCTGAGTAGCTGGTATTACAGGCGTGTGCCACTACGCCTGGCTAATTTTTATATTTTTCATAGAGATGGCATTTTACCATGTTGGCTAGGCTGTATTTCAATAAATTTAAAGAGCTAATTGGCTTGCATTAGTAATTCATGAATCAGGCAGCATCTCATCTTAAAAATAGATAAGTGCTCTCTGGAGCACAGCAGAACAGTTAGTTCTCATAAGGTAGCTAGAGCAGGAATAAGAAAACAGAATAATACAAAAAATGAATTGGTTTAACACAAGGCACTTCAGTTACTTTCCTTTTAAGGGTTAAAGCACAGGGGACTTCCTTATCATGCCACTTCAAGTTGACTGGGCCCCTTCTGACTGATGGCTGTGAATCTCTTCTTTCGAAAAAACTGGTCTGTTTGTAAGATTTTCCTGCTTCCTTAAAGTTTCAGTTTTATTGCATGACAGCACAAGTGACTCCATTTTGGTTTGGTCTGTTAATGCCTAGGGTACATGCTCAGTCTAAAACAATGGTCTCCTATAAATTTTATTTAACACTCTAAAGGATATATAATGTTTTTCATTATAATGAAAAAAACTCCCAAGTCACAATCTACCTATTTCAAACAATATCTAACATTACGATGTTCCAATAAAAGCAAATAATTTGGAAAGTTTCTGAGCATTGAAATATGACTTGAATTATATAGTGTATGCTATTGCCACATATCAACTTAACAAGAAGTGAATGATTTTTAACTTTTAACTATTATTAAAGAATGTATACATAGCTTCTTTTTTAATATTCTAATTTCAGTGCTCAAAGATCCAAAATTCATTGGACAGTATTACAAATGGAAGAAAATGGATCTACAGCATCATAAAGAATGGAATTTAAAGTAAGAAATATTACGTGCCTTGAATGCGTTCCTTAACTTGAATTGTCTGTTATTCCACTTTCTACTGTCCAACTTGGAAATCACAGCAGGAATGCTTGAAAATAACAACGTTCTCCCTTTTCTAAGTACAAGAACAAGAATAAGGGAAAGGATCATTTCTTGCTTTCATATGAACCCAGGAAGGAAATATCTTTGCTACATATTGGCTGCCAAAGATGGAGATAGGATACGATCCACAGTGGAGAAATCTCATAATATTCTCCCCATTATTTCTCTTACTCTAATTTCCATCATCCTTATCAACATGTGACTTAATAATGGCTTTTTTTAAAAAAAGCAAAAAATTATATATCCTCAATTAGCTTTTCATCCTTTCTGTAGCTCCAAACATTGTTTCTTCTCTCACAGATTTCTGATTCAAGAACCAAATATATTAAATGTAATGAGGAAGGATATAGCAAAATACAAACATACATTATTGTGTCTTTATAAATCATTGACTCTTAGACCACATGGAGGAAGGAAACCTAATCTTATCTTTGGTCTCTTGACACCTGAAGGCAGTTTTTCTGCTTCATCTTGTTAGAGCAAAAATGCCACTGCAGTTCTGTGGTATTAGTTGTGTGGTGCTAGTCTTTTTTTTTTTTTTTTTTTTTTGAAGCGGAGTTTCGCTCTTGTTACCCAGGCTGGAGTGCAATGGCGCGATCTCGGCTCACCGCAACCTCCGCCTCCTGGGTTCAGGCAATTCTGCCTCAGCCTCCTGAGTAACTGGGATTACAGACACGTGCCACTATGCCCAGCTAATTTTTTTGTATTTTTAGTGGAGACGGGGTTTCACCGTGTTGACCAGGATGGTTTCGATCTCTGCACCTCGTGATCCACCTGGCTGGGCCTCCCAAAGTTCTGGGATTACAGGCTTGAGCCACCGCGCCCGGCCGGTGCTAGTCTTTTATTCTGGTGTGCTGATTCCAAGGTACTCAGTGAATGTGCTACTATAAAGGTTGCAGAATTAAGGATCCTGTTTTTTGCATTTCTCTCATTTATCTCAATTTTTACCTCTTTGATTAACTGTTAACCATGTGCCCTCTTTTCTAGATGAAAAGACATGATTAATAAAGATAACGTGCTGCATTTTGAATTTGTGTAGCAATTGAGGAATTGAGTGTGTGTGTGTGTGTGTGTGTGTGTGTGTGTGTGTGTGTATTTTTGTTTTGTTTTGTTTTGTTTTGTTGAGACAGAATCTCACTCTATTGCCCAGACTGGAGTGCAGTGGCACGATCTTGGCTCACTACACCTCTGCCTCCTGGGTTCAAGTGATTCTCCTGCCTCAATCTCCTGAGTAGCTGGGACTACAGGTGCATGCCACCATGCCTGGCTAATTTTTTGTATTTTTAGTAGAGACAGGGTTTCACTGTGTTAGACAGGATGGTCTCCATCTCCTGAACTCATGATCTGCTCACCTTGGCCTCCCAAAGTGCTGGGATTATAGGCGTGAGCCACTGTGCCTAGCCAAAATTGAGTACATTTTTTTTTAATGAATTAAGTATATTAAAATATACTTTTCTATCCTTTGACATCATATAGTTCAGACTGAGTTTTTCAGTTGGATTTTCTTTCTTCTGTTGATTCTGTAACAACTTTCCTTCAAGCTAAAGTAGAGAAAAGCTTTGGCATTTGATATACTTTTCTGCTTTCAGTATTAATTACAGGGAGTAAAAAGATCTTATCAAGCAAAACTTGAAGTGAGTAGAAGCATGTTTTTTTTCTTGAAGGCATGTTTTAAGTTTCTTTTGGAGTTGAAGAAACCTACTTAGAATATAAGGTTAACTTTGCTTTGACATGACTTCCTTTTTTATTTCCTTTAACAGAACTGTTTTATTTGTTTGATCATCGATTCATTATGTAATGCCAACATCCCACAAACCCAAAAATTTAGAAAAAGTAGAACCACGTCATTTTCAATCTATCCATCTACTTCTACATATGGCTAAAATAATTGTGAGCTGTTTGAGTGCTGGAACATTTTTCCAAATACATTATTTCAAAGTTACAGGTCAAATTATCATGTGCATAGTGACCCTGTCAAAATAAAACCCTCACACCTTATGCCATCTGGTGGTTGATGAGAATATATTTAGATCAAATGATATTTGCTGCTTTGAAACAGTGGTAATGATTAGTCAAAAACCCCACTATTTAAATACAGTTTAAAAAAGATATTATATTTATCTGCATTTTATTGTGGCATAAATATTGACTATGCAAATGTTAGAGGTATAGTAAAATCTAAAAAATCTAAAGAGTGGCAAAATTCAACTTCTTTTCAAATAATTATCAAAAGTCTTGTTTCATCAAAATACATGGGGTGTGATAAGGAGGACAATTCAGAGAGACTCAAGTAGAAAAGGTTTGGGGATCTGTGCAGACGAGTAATTGGTCTGTGTTGTGCATGCCATATTATGCATCTGTCAGTTGTTAATATTCGAAAAGGCTTTTCTTACGGTGAAATTTCCTGTTTCAAAAAAAAAAAACAAACAGGAAATGTAAATTGAGAACCCTTTGTTTGCACAGCATTGAAGAAAAAGAGAAACCTGTTTCTCCTGCTACTTCCTTCCCTCCTCTCATTAATCAATACACTATTCTTAAGCCACACTGAATTTGTTTTCTCACTATTATTTGGAGTCCTAAGACCTCTTTACGGCTTTGTACCTTCTGCCTGGGATCAGCAAGGTCTTTGCTGCTGGTCTAGAGTTAGGATTTGGCTAGTTAAAAGATGGAATAGGGAGCTCCTAAGTGCGGGAGCACTGGAGCCAGACTGTCTGGATTTGAATTTTGGCTCTGCCATTTACCAGCTCTGTGACCTTGAGCAAGGTCGCTGACTTTTGGACCTCAGATTTATCTGTTAAGTGGCAGTAGTAAGTGTACCTACCTCCCAGGAAAGTGTGAGGCTTAAAAAAATTAATATATGTAAAATGCTTCAAACGGTATCTGGTACATGATAAGCACTCATAAAGTTCGCTATTATTCATGCTTTTAAAACTCTACTGTGGCCCTCATTCAATTTGCAGGTCAAAAAAATCTTTCTTTGGAAGCAGTATCAGGGGCAGAGTATGAGCTTCAGAGTCAGACACATCTTGGAGAAATTCTTACCTACTCTGAACTTGTTTCCTTATCTGTTAAATGGAGGTAACCTTACCTACCTTGCAAAGTTGTTTTGCATTTGATCTCTTGAATGAAATCGTATATATAAAATAATATAGCACCACACATAGGCATTCAATAAATTATAGGTCCTGAGGAGAGGAGGAGATGGAAGTTCATGCCACCCAACTTTTCAGAGAATAAAAACAATCTGTTGGAAACATGTAAAATTTGTCTTTTCTCAGGTTAGAAAGCACCACTTAACTGCATTTATTGTAGTTCCTATATGCCTCTGGTTCTTCTTCCTTCTCCACTGCACCTCCATCATTTCTTCTGCCTGGTGAAATGCTTCACAAGGATGGTGTGAAGAGCTGGCCCAAATGTCTTTTTGTGGAGACAGTTTCTAACAAGCTCAGGCATTCCCAGTTTCACCATCCTCTCTCCATATTCTCTGTTCCCATGTCTTTGATCATGTGTGATGTGGAAATTCATCTGTTCATGAAGAGAAACCAGGGCAAGGATGTTAGTGTTCCTTTGCATTCTCTGTGCTTAGCATGGTGCCTGGGCCTGCCAAGTAGTAGACACTCAACTAATGTTAGTTGAAAGATGTGTACTCACCCTGGTTTTTCAACTAGAAGTAGGATCAAATGTGAAGGCAGTTAATTTTAGGAAAAATAAAATTAAGTTGTAGACTCTTAAGGTTCATTCTAATTAATGTGAAGATTTAGGGTTCTATTTTGAGAGTTCTACGGTGTAGTCAGAAACAGTGATTGAAAACTGGAAATGTAAATGACTGTCATGAATATTTTATGCAAAACCTCTAATTTTGCAAGTCTTTGTTACTATTAATAGAAACCTATTGTCATTATAAGCAGCTCATAAATATTCATTAACCAATCATTTGGTTTGGTTTTCCTTTCTAAGGACTTTTTTCTTTCCTATTGCCTTGAGTGTCTTTTGGCTATTCATGAATATTCTTTATTTCCGCTAAAGACGATGAATCTATAATCAGTATTTTGTATTTAAGTTCTCCAGAGAAATAGTAAAAGATATAAAATCAGAAAGCAATAAAAGCTGTTCTTTTGAGTGTTCTTGCTTATACACATTTAAACGTATATTTACTGCCATACTCTAGCTAATGATTGCTTCTGTGACAACAGAAAAATCTTTATCAGTACCTAAGCTTTGGCAGCTAGCAAATTGTCTGAATAAAACTTACCAATTCTTGTGGTGGTTTACATTCATTGTAGCTTTAGAAAAGAACGTTGCTTCTTGTTTATACCAAAGAGGTATAGAGGGAACAGGAACTAACATGGCTAAGTACTTCCTGTATGCCAGGCACTCTCCCTTCATTTCCTCATGTCATACTGGCCATCCTGTGGAGTTGATAGTCACATGCTTAAGTGTAGCCCACAATAATACCCATCAGCTTCCTTCAGAGCCACACCAAATCAACCTGTACTCCAAGTCAGACCACTTTGCTTGCCTTGCTGACAGCCTCTAGACCAGATTCCTAACCTCCTTTTCAATGGATGACTGCCCCTAAGACCCCATCCCCCAATGCCCCAGAAATTCTTTAAAGGTGTAGATGGATATCATCTCTGATTTACCAATGAGAGAAATGGAGGCACAAAGAGATTAGCAAGTTTTCCTGAGGTTATGGATAAATACAAACTTTATTTGCAAATTAAAACTAAACAACTTCTTACTTGCCTACTAATATGCACTTATTAAAAGCTTAAATTGTTCAGGGAAGTGTAAAAATATTGCCTACCCAAGTGCAAGCACAATCAAATCTACCTTTTGTGAATAAGTTGTGTTTTTTCTTAATATTAAATTTTATTATTAAACAATGTCAG